TTAAAATTCCTATGAATCCTAGGTATAGTATTTACTTTAGTAAACAATTATCATTTATTCCATCACTTCTTCGGATTATTTATTTTTAATCAATCTATATTCATGTGAAGTGTAGCTCATCTGCATTTTTCTTTCCCTGGAACCTAAATGTATATTATGAGTTTGAATCCATCAGAAACTAAGTCAGTCAAAATCAAATTTAACTACATACGAAGTGAAAACGATTTGTATTTCGCAAATCAAAGTGATAGTTAAAGCAACCAAACTGTGTCAGAAATGTTCCCAAATTACTAGGTAAGGCTTTTATCAGCTCATCATCTGATCCAATAATTTTAATTGTGGCATTTCATTCGGCATGTCGCCGCACGACTTCTATGATACTCGAAGTCTCACATATATAATTTGAAAGGGGGGGTCTGGGGGGGCGGCGCCCCCTCAGCAGGTAGCTTTTGCTACTTGTTTACAATTTAGAGGAAGTAAAAGTCCGGGGGATTAAATATTTATTTTAAACAATGCCTATAATGAATAAATATTTGAATTTTTCACGCATGAAAAAAAATAATAAATGAATTTCTTTCATGAAGAAATTAAGCAAATTTAAAACATTTTCAAAATCTGCCCATTAGTATATCAGTATTTGTATCATGGTGTTTTTGTTTTAACCTCCTTTTAACTTCTTTAGAATGCAGATATGGCTGCTGTTGTTATGCAAGAAGGCTTTGCACAGATTTGTCTCATAACCAACAACATGACCATTGTGCGAATGAAAATAGACATGAATATCCCAAGGAAACGTAAAGGAAATGTCAAACAACATGAGAAGGTAAGCAAATCAGTGACTGTTGCTCACCTACTTGCAGTTGTATTTTTCTGCCTCAAGAGGGTCTTCCTAAAAATCTCTCTCCCGAAAATGTCCATAATTTCTCCGCTCAACTCTTAAGTGCTCTCTGATTTCAGACAAGAAATATCCTTGTAAAATAAAATAAAATAGGAGCAGGAATTTCAGAATGGTGCAATCAAAATGCAAGATTCTTAAGTTTAACTATTGATATACTGTTTATAGCATCATATCCTAGTTATCTCTCTGATGCTTTGGGCCTTATATCTAATACCTAATTCCTGCATGTGCAGGGAAGATGCTGCAACGGTGATAAAAAAAGTCAAAACAATACATTTTACTGCTGCTACAGCTCTTAATTCACTTGCAATAGCAGTTTTTTGTAACTGCTTCTTAATATGTACCATGACCTTTACTTGATTTTTTGTTGCAGGGTCTGGCAAGATTTTTTGAGAGTGTCATGCAAGGTATCTTGAGACATGTAAACTTTGATGTTGTTAAATGCGTCATCATTGCTAGCCCTGGTTTTGTTCGCGACCAGTTTTACAACTACATGTTTCAGGAAGCTGTAAAATTAGACAACAAAGTTCTTATAGAAAACAAAAGTAAATTCCTTTTGGTCCATTCTTCGAGTGGATTCAAGCACTCATTGAAAGGTAAAATTTTTTATTCGTTCAGTATTTTTTTTATTCATAGGTAGGAGGTTTCTCTTCCTTTATGTTTTCTTAAGTAATTTTAGACTTTAAGCTCATATTGTTGTGCCTGGAAAATAGTTTCCCCTAGTTCTTCTTTTAAATTTTCTATCTGCTGTACTGATTTTACTTCACAATTTTTATACGGAAAAGCAGGACTGCAGGCCAAGTATAGAATCATAACTTAAAAAATCCGTCAGAGGTCACCAATTATCATATCTTTCAATTGAATAAATTTAACAGGAAAGGTTATGGGCAGGCCCTCTATTGGGTTAGTTGCACTAGTCACAGAATCGTGTTTTGATGCTTGATTCTTGTAGATCAGTAAAAATAATAAGATCTGTCCTAACAGCAACTCTCTACATTCTATATTAACAAAGATATCGCCATTAGAAAAGTCAGGTTTTTGACGACATCCACCGCGGCAGTGACCCCTTGGTTTCTTCCACCTTGCTCTCATCCGAGTTTCACATTGAAAGACCAGTGCAAATGTTTGTCACACCAACTGATGAAAGCAAGATGGAAGAAACAAATGGTGTCACTACCGCGGTGGATGATGTAAAAAACTCTACTTTTCTAAGGGCGATTTCTCGGTATTTTCAGCTGATCTACAAGTATCAAACATCAAATCTTGATTCTGTGACCAATTCAACTGACCAATTGTCCCAATTGGTTAGATAGGGAAGTGTTGGAACTACTGTTATTTTATTTGAAAAATTCAGTTTTCCACTATTTTGTTCCTGGTTGGGGAGTAATCTTAGAATAACTAATCAGATCAAAAATTTTGTTACAAGCTAATTTCAAAGCCAGAAACAAAATTATCAGTAAGTTTTATGCTTGGCGTCTTTTGTCTTATTTTAGAGGTTCTGATGGATCCAGCAGTGATCAACAGTGTTTCTAACACCAAAGCAATGGCAGAAGTCAAGGCATTGGAAACGTTTTACCAAATGCTTCAAACAGAACCATCAAAAGCATTTTACGGGTACAATCATGTTTTGAAGGCAAACGAAGCTCAGGCCATTGAAACGCTTCTCATCTCAGATAAACTTTTCAGGTTTGTCCTCTCTCTCTACCCTACTTAGTCCGCTTTTTTGTTTTTTTTCAAAAAAACTTCTGAGAGTCATGATAATTTATGGTGTATGCTTGGGAGAATCTTGAGTGTTTTAGCATGTACATACTCATAGTCCACACCTTGAATAGTTGCCGGTGGGGGAGGAGTCAAGTAAGCGGCTTGGGCTACTGTTAAAGAGTTGATTGGCTTTGTCATGGATGTGCCGTTTGAATGAGCCAATGTACCCACGTTTCAACTATGTAGCAATATCCCCAGCCAGTCTACAACCCACACCACCCGCAACCTTTCTAGGTAAGTACTATGGTTTTGTAGCGACGGGTTAGTCCAGTGTTGATATCTTTCAAAATCATAGGCAATAATAACTTGACGCCGAATATTGTAGAGCCAATAGAGGTTTTGAGTGGAGCAGAAGGTAATTAAATTACATTGCAAATGCACTTTCGAAAGGGATTTAAGATTCTACCACGAATATTACAGTGATAGCTAGTGTTGCAATTAGCAAAGCTGAATTGGCTCCATTTTATTTTCTAGCCTACTCGATCTTGTATGCCTAAAAGTCTTGGTATCCTGCACTGGGCCTATGATAATGTGTTGAACCTAAATCTATGACAAGAGGGTGGCTCTAATGGGTCTCGCAGAAACCTCAGAAATTTACCATACATTTCATATTTTCTTTCATCAGTGCTTTTATATCACTATTATACATCGCCTCTATTAATATTAATTCACATCCATTCAATATGCAGCACTTGCACACGAATAATGTTAATATTTAGCTTTTCCTTTTGAGTGTTTACTGAGAAAGCAACCAAAATATGTACTTATTCCCCAACAAAATGTCTGACTTCAGTCTAATATTTATCTTCTCCCTTTATCTCTCATTTTAAAGATCAACTTTTTGTTGATGTGAGTTTCTTTGACTTTAAGATAATAATGTTGGGTTTAAGAGATAGTGGTTCGTGTGTATTACTTTATCTTGTCTCTCTCTCTTTTCAGAGTTCAAGATGTTGCCAAACGGAAACAGTACGTTAGTCTTGTCGACAGTGTACGTGAAAGTGGTGGAGATGTGAAGATTTTCTCAAGTTTACACATTTCTGGAGAACGTAAGTAAATCTTTTAATGAGACAGTTTATTCTTTAGACAATATTCTTTTTGTGTGGAAAACTGCTTAATCTGTCATTTTTATGTCCCCTTGGTTTTTCTAGTAGAAAAATTGAAATTCTTAAAAGAATTTTTAATCAAAGCTTATACTTTTTGGTGCTCGTAAGCTAAGATATTCTACAAATTATCAAAGCACAGTTTTAGCAATCATAGAATTTACTTTTTCAATCATGACACAAAGTGAATTGATTTCTGTCCTGATGTTGCATTAATGATGGCCTCTGCCCAAAGCAGATTTAGATCTTTTGCAGATTTTGATGTTGCAAGTGAGTTCTTTCTTAGTTTATTTTTACCCTATTAGTTTGAACTTGTGCAGATGTTTGTCCTGAGATACAGTGAGGTTAGATGTATGTTGTAGTTAATCGTCAACTAAAGTTTTTGAAACTGCAATAATTCATTGGTCGCTGAAAATTAATTTTAATTTTTCCTGTATTATTTTTATCTTTAGAGCTAGATCAGCTGACTGGTATCGCCGCCATCCTGAGATTTCCTTTGCCTGATCTGGAAGATGAGGATGATGAAGATGAAGATTCAGATGGAGGCTGAGTATACTCTGGCTAAAAGAGTTTCTAACCCAGTTTGAGGACATCCTACTGGCTTCAAGGACGATGACCCCAAATTAAACTTGTGAGTCAAGTATTTGATAGAAGCTCCTGAACATTTTTTGGTCATCTTCAGGAACTTGAATACAGTTCGGGCCATTTAAAATCAAATTCCAGAATCAAATTTTTTTGATCCAAACTTTGTCGGGTTAAAAAGAGCTCTGTTAATTTTTCTGGCTTGAATCAATTTTCAGAGCGGAACTGAAAAAAGAATTATTGAAGTCAAACAGAATGTATTGTTCAAATCTCATATCTGCAAACTTTGTCCCTCAAGCTCAATAAAGCCTTGGTTTTTCTTGTTAAGCTTATTGATTGATTTTTTGATTTTAAGACATTTCAAGTACCTAATATCTCAAACAAGAGAACTAGTATGAATCCAAAGATAATTTTGAAGGACTAATCCACAGAATGTACAGGCTACCGTAGCTGAAGGTTCACTGCAATTTACTTCAATGTTGCGCACCAAGTATTTCACAGTGTCTCTGCACTGTCACAAATGAGAACAATACACATTGCAAGATTGCAAGAAAGCTGGAATGTCTCCTTAAATACAAATGAAACAACGTTGATAGCTATCAAAGGCTTCGGGACGAAAAAACAACGTATGAACTTTGAACAATGGTTTCTAGCTGCGTTCTTCTTCTTTGAAAAAGAAATGTCTGGAGTGAACCCTCTGTTGGCGTTAGCGTGATGTATATTCTGTGCTCAGTCAGTTGCTGTTACATGCTTACTTATTGCTGAGAGGTAGTGCAGCAAAAAAAGACAGTGAAATCTTGCTAAGTCAAAATACGCCAAAGATGAAATCCTGCTTAACACTAAATTTTCCTCAGTTCCTGAACGCTTTTAAAATGTTTTGTGTAAAAACAAAACTATCCCTCCACTTAAATTCAAAGGTTTTTTTATAGAGTGGGGTTCCATTTAAGTTGAATGAAAATATTCCAGGAAGCAGAAATTGTAGGAATCATTCAATACCTTCGTGTCAAACTGACAGAAAATTTCAAGTTTTTCGAAATTTGAAAAATGTTACTCACCTCTTTCATTCAATGGAGACTATAATTGCACGGTGACTTACGTCAACTTGTTGCTGAGACTTAATTACAGTCCATCATTTTGCTGAAGTGGGGCTTGTTGTTTTCAAAAATTACTTGAGTTGGAGATTTTAAATTCAGAAGTGTTGTTGAAATTAGAGAATTTTAATTTTATTGAAAAATTGAAATTAATGAAAAAATGAAAGGAAATAACAAAAAGATAGAAAAGAAAAATTGGAAAAAGAAAAAGAAAAGAAAAATAATTGATAAAGATAAACTCTTCAAGACTGCTAGTTGCCTGCTTTTTGTCATGGACCTTGTTAAACTTTAGCTCTGATTTCAAAGTTTCGACACTTGATGACACCTAATTGGCGTCAAGTTGCTGCTTAACTTGAAATTATACTTTCTTTTGGTGTCAAGCAGAAAATCAGCTCAAACAAAGCACCACTTACATCAAAATTGCTCTTGATCTACAGATAATTCGACCTAGTGAGATTTCACTGTATAATAAAGAACTGAAAAATGGACTTTTTCTCATCTGCACAAGCATAGTAGTTTTGGCGATTGCAGTAAATTATGGAATATGATAAAAAGTAGTGGAAGGTGTTTGCTTGCTGAGCAAAATTAGTAAAAAATTCCAAATTATTGAAAAAATTCAGTTTAATTGTTGATCAATATTATCTACAAATAGAAAATTTTCTGAGTAAAAACAATAACTTAGACATATACATACAGCCAAAAGTATTTCTTAGAGTATATCTCGATTGATGTGCAAATGCATGAACTGAAGTGATTTCATATTCATAGGAGTAGAATAAATTGACTAAAATGGGAGCACCTTTCCCTGCCATCCAATGAATCCAGTTTTATTCTTTTCCTTCATGTCAAGCATGATCTTGATCATCCCATTGACACTGGTGGTGGCGTCAATAGCTGCGTTTGATCCACCCATATCTGTCTGGACCCATCCAGGGTAGATAGATTCCACTAGGATTCCATCTGGGCCAAGCTCGATACTTAACGACTGTGCGCTCATGTTTAAGGCAACCTGAAAAAGTTGTAAAGCTGTTTTAACTATGCCTACTATATGTTATTATTCATTAACCCTCCAATTTTAGGGAAGCTTAATTTAAACTGATCTCCTGATTCCTCCGTGAAACTCTCCAACTTTCAAGACTTATTATCTTGAAAATAATAAATTATGTTAAGCAAAATTCGATCATAGAATTTCGAAAAATGACTCTGAGAGTACCCCCTAGAAAATATTGAAAATTATTTCTATTTTTAATTTATGATATTCTTTTAGTCAGTTCTTTCAATGTTATTTCGAGTTTATTCACAAGGTTTTGTTAAATGGTACCTCATGCAGATTTGGAAGGAATGTGTAAGGTGCAATCTTGATAGAAAAGTCTTGAGATTTTAAAAACACAAGTCAAAATGCCAACCAGATGTTGAACACCAGCTTGCAATGCTTACAAGATGGATTTATCTTTTTAACTTTTTTTGTGATATGTTCTGTAAAGTATAACAAGTACTTGTGAGCAGCCAACATTTACTCACTGTGAATAGAATATACAAAGACTTAGTAAAAGTTTGATTTTGGTAAATACCTTGTGGAACAACATAGTGTTGTGGTCTTGAGTGTAGGTTGAGCCTGAAAATTATGTACGGTCCTACAGACTGATTTAATGGCTTTGTCGCGATTTGATAATGAACACATTACATTTTCTCTGTTTTTCATCATGGTGGTAAAATGTGTCTGAACGTTTCTTGCAATCAAAATTTCTCGTACTTAATAAGTCATCAATCGACTTGTGATTTGTAGATTACTGAATTGTAATTCATTGATAGAATTAAATTTACATGTTTGCCTCTGGAATGTGGATAAGAGGTTATCCTCTATTGTTTTGGTTTGAACAATTGCAGATCGATAGTTAGAATATCGCTAGAATGATATAGCCATTAAGTCAGTCTATGAAAGAGATAATTTTACTTGGGATTCTTTTTGGAAAATGTTTCATGTATGCATACATTGCTGTAAAATGTGAAATTAGAATGATCTGTTAATGAATAATGAGTGAAGCAAATGTTCCTTCACGTTTACTTTTTTCTCAACCACTCAGAACCCTGTAGGAGCCTCTACATAATTTGCTTTAAAATTGAATAACTATGGAAAATGTTCAGTTCCTTTTTTTCATTCTTGTAAAAAAAAAACTAAAGACAAATACACCAAGACAAACCTTGCTTTCTCTGTAGCCGTAATAGCCACCCATTCCATTGTCTTCTATCGATCCAAGACCTGAATTAATGCTGATGACAGCCGCTCGAGTTACACTCAAAGCTGAAACACAAAAAGTCATAAAAATTAAAAACTCAACGAGAATTTAAAGCTGAAATTTTAAAACACTACCTACTTAAAATTTATTTACATAAAATCTACTTTGAATCTCCAGAAGTTTTGAAAAATTGAGACAGTAGGTCTGTGAGTCCTGTCATTGAATGGAGAACTCAATACATAACAGGTTTTTTGTGTTTCCTACATACATGCCTCGTCATGAATTGTCAGCAGTCCTCTCATTTAATCAAAAGTGCAAAATCGTTTTAATTGTAGACAAATTGTTAAGATATTTCAAGAAAATGAAGTATTTCAAATGGGTTTAACTCGGTGAGATAGGATCAAAATAAAGCAATAAAGAAATCAACTAACCATTGTTGACTTTCGCAGCATTAACTTTTGCAGATGTTTTGAGTAATGGAAGGAAAGCCTGAAACATAAAAATAAGTTTTAATCTCTCTTACCATAACTCACACAAATGAAACATTACGATGAATACTCCAAAAGGACTTTTGACGTAACAAAGACAACTTAACAAAGACATAACAAAGATATTGGATAGGAGGGTGGGAATATGGTTTCTGAACAACATGGGATGCTCAATTCACTTTCTCACATACTTCGAACAAAAATTATGTGGATGAAAAAATTAGTAGTATCCAATTAATTTTCACTAATGACTTTATTAAAACTTAAGAAATACATCCACAAAGTCACTTTCTGAAAACTAAAGAAGGAGCCTCACAAATATTTCTTTCATCTTATTGCCGTCCCACACTATACTAATTTTCTCCTAAATAATCGGAAGAATCAAATCACTCTAAACCTTTTTTGAAGTATACATGTGTACTGATAAAAAAATAAATGAAACATGAAAAATAATCATTTATTGTGTATTGGTTAATGATGAATGTTCACCAGAAAAATGAAAATTTAAAAAAAAGAGAAGTTATAAATTTTGGGAAGGTTTTTCCTTACAAACCAACTTTCAAAAACTATGTAGGTGTAACACGATTAAAACATACACAGTTGAAAACAAATAGGAAAAATAACATGGATTACTTACCTTAGTCAGCAATAGAGGTGCAACAGTGTTCGTTTTGAGGACTGACAGCATTAGGTCAGCAGTTACTTCCTCCAAATTTCGTACTCGATGAAGGATCCCAGCATTGTTGATCAAAAGCGTGAGTCCTTTATCACCGACAATGGCACGCACTTCATTTACTACGGGATCATATGAGTCAAACTGACATACGTCTAGAACAGCAATCAGACAGAGGAAAATTACTAGAACTTATCATGTAGTAAGTATGTTTAGTTGCCATGAGAAAAATTGAATACTTGCAAGGCTATCAAGTACAAATGAGAGGTACATAAATGGACTAGGTACATTCTACGAAAACCAACTCTGGCATATTATTATGTAAGAATTAGCATGAGCCAAGGCAACAATTTATGTCAAGCGCTGGCAGCGCAGTCTCGTGAAGGCACTCACTTGATAAAACAGAGTTGGACAGTTGATTTGACTGTAAAAACTCCTATTGCTAAATTAATGGACTTAATTCTTTCTTAGAATGCAGCAGGGCCGTACACCCTACCTATAGAATATGACCTCAACTTTGCCAAAACTAAGAAACTTGCCCTCTGACTCAAATGTGGCTGAGCTGATATTACCAAGACTCATCTCAAAAATTAACTTGGCGATTATCCAAAAGTTGCAAAATCTACTTACAGTCTTTTTTTCTTACATAAACAGAAATTACAGAGTAATAGCCACCCAATTTTTTTCTGATTTTTTATAGTAATCCCTGGAAAAATGAGCAAAATTCTTAGTAAAATGTGTCTATTAGTTTCCAGATAATGGGATAACTTTGAGAGAAAATTTGGCAACATTGAAATGAAGCTATCGAGTAACTATAGAGGATTGACAAACTGGAGGACTTAATCCATTATTAGTTCTCTTTAACTTACCTAATTGTACAATATGCAACCTTGAGTCATTTTTTTTCAAGTCCTGTAGAGCCTGAAAAATAAGGAAACGATTCAGTTGGGATTGAATTTTTGGGAAATTCATGATCATGAAGTGTGAAAATTCAAAATATATAATAAACAACATGGCATAAATATAGTATTAATGCAGATTGAAGCACTGTTCAAAAGGATCAGGAGAGGCTCAAAAAGAACTTTCACCTGAGTAAACCTTGCCGATGACTCATAACAGACTGTGTTTTTGTTGGTGAAAAGACGAATACCTAATAAAATTAGGTAATTAGTCTTATGCAGTCTAGGTAAGCAAGGCATGTGCTACTTGCCATAAGATTTCAGAAAGAAGAGGATAACCCAAGTAGCATGGATTGCAATTTCATTGCAATGGATTGTGAGTTGATTGCAATTTTTGCTTGTTGCCTATACGTTCATTTGAAGGCGCTTAAAAAGTTGCAATTTTATTGCAATAAGTTTGCAAGAAATGTAGATTATGCTTGTTGCCTAACCTTCTTTTTCAAGGTACTATAAAGACTGCAATTTCGGTGCAATCATGTTGTAACAAATTCACGCCATGTGCCTGGCATCCAATTCTCTAGTTGTTTTAAAGTTTTTTCGACTTAAATGTCTCACCTAACCCTTATAGCCCAACATATTTTGAAAATATTGTCACCTTTATCAAAATATTTTCATGGCAATATTGTAATTAAAATATTTTCAAAATATTTTTAAAACATTTTAAAGGAATATTTTGAAAATGATTACAAAAAATATTTTGAAAATGATTACAAAAAATATTTTTAAAATAATTCAAAAATATTGCCTGTAAACATGCATGTTAAAAATATTCCTTAAGAAAGTTTTGAAAATATTTTAAAAATATTTTTTGAAAATATTTTTAAGTTCTCAAGTTAGTATGTGGTGTAATTTACACCAGTGTAAATTTAGTGTGAGTACCTATTACGTGATATCGAAAAAAAAAATCAGACAAAAAAAATATGAAAAAAATAAATAACACGAAAAAAAATAAATAATAGGCAAAAGAAAGAAGCCTGAGAAAAACGGCGTTATTCAAATCTATGATGAATGTTGAGCCACGCACTGACGCAATGCATGCGATAACAGCCTTAAGAGGCGTGATTTCAACCCAACTCATCATCAGCTCCCTGTAGCTCAGTGGAAAAGTGCTCCGCTTAGAAATTCGCAGGTCGGGTTCAAGCCCACTCTAGGGCGTCCGGTATTTTATGCTGCTAAACGTCGTAGGACATTAGGTAAGCATGGGTTCGAATTATTATAATTTCCCCGGAAAATTTAGGGGTTGAAATTTAAAGGTCGTCAATATTGAAATTTCTTTGCAAAAAAAAAAATTGCAACTTTTTTACAATGAGGGGGTCAGATGTTGTAAAATAATTGCAATTTTCTTGCAAGAAAGTTGAAATCATCTGGAAATTTTATTGCATTTAAATTGCAATTTTTTCGTTGCAAAATGCTACTTGGGAACTTTCACGAATTGGTTGAATTTTTACAGAATAAAATGGAGGGGCTTGGAGGAAAAGGTGTATGTAGGTGCAGTTTTTGCTATTTCTAGTATTGGCAAATAAGTTTGTGTTTGAAGTTCCAAAAGTACATGGATCCTTATGATGGAGGAAAGTTCAAACTGGCTTTTTGATGCAACATATTGGAATTTCGGGGAGGAGTTTTTACAGAACTATGTATCAAGACTAGTTTTACTTGAAATCATTAATACCTCAATTTTTCAAAAACCACACTTACTTATGCACCTTGTCCTCCAAGCCCCTCAGTTAAAAAAATATTGTCTCTTGATAATTTGACTTTAATAGGAGACTAACAGAACTACACACTAGATCCGAGTAGACAAGAGATGGCTCCAATTACAGAGCCCTATTGGTGAAAAAAAAGCATTGATGAATAAGGATGAATAGAGTAAAGGTTTACATTGGCTTTGTCAGGAGAGCGACATGCAGCAATGACAACTTGGGTTTTAACAAGTGGGCTTGATAAAAACTGCTTCACAAATTCCAGACCAAGTCCTCTGCTTGCACCAGTTATAAAAACAGAAGGGATGTCTGCCATTGTACCGCAAAATAGAGCACGGACTTCTGACCTGCAAAATGAATAATGACAAGGATTTACTTAGAATACGTGCCCATAAAAATGAAATAAAACAGAAGAATTCAGAGTGGATATGTGCAGAGAACAGGTTAGATTAGGTATCTATCCTGCACCCTTGGGCTAATATTCTCTGCACCTCTCTACCAATGGTGGTTAATAATCCTCTCTACCTCTGGAGTTTCCGATGGGTCAAATCAACAAATCGATAGTGAGTATGTGTCTACAACAGCAGAGGTATCTGACAGAGGCCAGGTACGAAAAGTAGCATTTTATGGCATCACACAACTGGTTGTCGAGTCGTTTTGCGAGGGAAGACGAAGCAAGTTTCAAAAAGCCCAAAGAGGTACCTACCAGGGATTCGAAGTGCCTCACGAGGTTATGCCGTATAGCATCGGCTCGGAGCAGTAGCATTAATGCTGTATGCCCAGGTAGCGGCTCTGCAGGCATGCAGCGCTGCACCTAATGCGCGCAACCTGCCGTCGCCGGCTTCGGACACCTGCCTTGCTTGGCGATGCTGCTCCGTTTACGATGCCGCCTCAAACCTCAGCTATAATCCCTGGTCCTTACAAAATTTTTTAGATTTAGTACGTTGGTAAGTATTACCTACCTATTCTGAGAACAAATACTAAAAAGCATTTAAGTACATACTTACCCTCAAATAAGTGGTAATCAAGGTGTGCAAGTAACTATTGAGTTGTGAGATCAGATCACTTGTGAGATGTGAACATGTGATGAAACTTTGACTGAAGTTAAAGCTATCGGCGGTTAAAAAGTGATTACACGTTCGATTTCACGAACAACAATATTAATTATGAAATCAATAGTAATCAAAATCGGCACTTGTTGTTCCAGTAAACGCGGAAACATGCACAGAGGGCTGGGCATTGGTTGCGTAAACCGTAAAAGTGAATTACTAAGTGAACTAGTGAAGTGATTAGATAACTGATAATGATAGATAAAGATAATGAATAATGTCAGGTTTGTTTTTGTTTACATTTGCAGCAAGGTTGTAGAAATCTAAAACCATGACTTTCCTAGCAATTGGCGTTTTCAATGAAAATACAATACAATGGAGGTGCAGGTTGACCTCAAAGGCCTCACAACGTCCCTCACAGCCATTTAATTCGTAAAAAAAGCACATTTTTAAATAAAACTAATTTTCATCATGAAGTTGAGTAATCGTGCTACTTTACTTCCCCGTAGAAAATGGTGTGAGTGTAACTAAAATTATCATGTTGAAAACTTGCATCTGCAGTCATTGCGTCACTCTAAGGCGCGCTTTTTAAATTAAAGCTGTGTCTTTAAACCGCCAACAGAGGACAGGAGAGCATTTCATGAGCCGCCCTGGGCCGCATGGCGCACGACCCGCCTTTCATTATTACACTTTATCTAGCGTTGAGAGTTCACTAATTACTACACACGAACAGTGTGCAATTTTAAAAGTCAAAAATTAAAAAAAAAAGAAGTTAAAAAACAAAATAAAGCTCTCCTCGCAAGAAATCGTTCACCACCCGCCCGCCGGGAGAGCCGCGGCGGCGCGGCGTGCTGCCTACATTTTAATACCCTTGCAGCGTGGCGCGGCATGCTGCCAGCTCTAAACGCGCACAGACGCCTACAAACCTAAAGGGATACTTCAAGCATTGCGCAATGCGTGGAGTAGCCCCTTAGGTTTGTAGGCGCCAGTGAGCGCTTACTGGCGCCTACAAACCTTAGAGGCTACTTCACGCATTGCGCAATGCTTGAAGTATCCCTTTAGGTTTGTAGGAGTCTGTGCGCGTTTAGAGCTGGCAGCATGCCGCGCCGCGCTGCAAGGGTATTAAAATGTGGGCAATTTGACATCAAATTCGAAATTAGCGACTCAAAAAACATCATTTACGAAACTTTCGTGATCTCTCAGGCAGAAGTAAGTCGGACACCATTGTCTGACTTACTTCTGCCTATTCTTAAGTTTTGGACCACAGTGCGCCGCGCGCAGCGGCGCTCATGAGATTCTCCCGTGTTCAATCGTTAGGCACACGTTGTGGAAACGGCTCTTTGAGAGAATAGAAATGAGGATTCCAACGCAATTGTTTCAGATTATGTATGCACGAAGAAAGAAGGAATCTAGTCTGTTAAGATATGCATGTAAATATACCTCAACCCCTGTCATATTTTAAGGTATTGGCTGTACCTAACTGGGGCGGACTGGCCATGGGGGCGGGGAGGCGATCGCCCCCTAACAATTTGCTGCGGAGGTCCCGAAGGCATTTGTGATGAAGGGACCCCCGATGATCCTGAGAATGGGTTATTTTGAAATTCAAGTACTGCAGGATCCAACTCCAATTATGCCTACGTGTTTAAAAAGTGTGAAATTTTCAAAATTTACCGGGGTCGGCCCTCGAACGACAGGAGGGGCCCTTAGATTTAGGTCACCTCCTAACTTTTTGACTACCAGTCCGTCTCTGTGTGCTAGAAAAAAAAAACTAACGTAGTTTGAGGGCGCTAAAGCCAGGGTTGTATTTCGCAAGTGGATAGTTTTTGCAGAATAATTAAAAATTCAGGAGCAGGAGTAATTTAACCAAACAATAAAAGGAACTCAAATCTAAAACATAATGCAAAACAATTCGGAAAATCTCATCATGTAAATACAGAAGATTCGAAAACGCCTTCAAATGAGGCGTCATACCTCACGCGTTCCGGAGAGTTCAGAAAGTTGTATCCCTGCGCCTTAGCAAGGTGATGGAAGCTTTTAAGTAGCGTCCCCGCGTTGTTTTTCGGTTTTCCTGTGCCGCTACTGCAGTAGTGCAGAATAATTTAAGTGAGTAATAAAGGAACTCAAATCTTTATCTAAAACAGAAAACCTCGCATGGAGACTTAGAGGAAAAAATATTTGATTGAGAGCAGAGCAAAATTAATTAAAAAAAAAAAAAAAAAAAATGATAATAGGATTACACCATAATAATTAAGTGTAATTACCAGTCAAATTTCAATTTTCAACGGGAATGAACTTCAAAACTAAAGGATCTTGATTAAAAGGATATGAGTTCCTTTAAATAAATAAATGGTGCACTTAAGTAGTTGGATGGAACACCATTTCAAACTTTCAAACAAGTTGTTCACAAGACGACTACCTCCCGCTACAAAAGCATGACCTTCTTATTTAGGGGTATTTGATTCAAATTCAGTCTCAAGTTATAGACTAATAAGTGATAATACTGGAGAGTATTGTTAAATTTCAAATTTAATACTGTGCTCTACAAAAAAACACCTAGGTAAACGCTGTATTACAATTTCACTGCAGTCTCCTTCTTATGGAATGTGAATATGTACACGTGCCTCTCAAATATAATTGATACTCATTAAAATTTAGTATGTTTCACGATTCAAGTGAATTAACACTTTCAGCTTTAACCAAATGTGCTTGAAAAAAGGGATAAAAACCTAGTTGGCTGTGCTAACTAGCACAATGCTTTTTTCATTCTTTGAGGCAATCTTGATCTTCTGGACTTATTGAACACTTTTTATGGTGTCTAGATACGTATAGAAAAGTGAAGAGGAGGGAGGGACAGTCAGAACCTAAATCGTGTAGGTAAGTTTACAGGTGATTTCTATTACTTTATTAAAACGAATGTTCATTTATGTTACATTATAACGCGTAATTCTTACACTATTATTATTATAGTTGATCAGTTACTTTTTATTGATTTGTCCTACCTATTATGTTTTATAACACAAAAATTGGGGCAATTTCTTTTTGCTGGTTACTTGGAACTTACAGATTAATTTTCCAAGAACAATTTCCATGTCCTCACACCAGTCATATACTTAAGTTTCAATGACCTAACTGCAGTTAGAGGATTTAAAGCTTGGAAAACTTTTGATGAGCCCGGGTGGCTCCTTGTTGCGACATCATGAAGTCCATTACGACTGTAAAGGGGAAATTTAAATGTTGCCAAATAACCTACATAAATTTATTGTCATTTGAGTTATTCATTTGCAAAAACATGAGTGCTCTGGTTTTTTCTTTTGGTTATTGATGTAAGTTATCACACCTACACAAAGAGATAGATTACTTTCTGAGATAGTAGTAGATTAAATACGTCGAGTTGTAATTAACACTAAGCAAATTAGTTGACAGTGCCGCAACTGAATGAGAGGAGACAAAATGAGTCGATGAATAAAGTCAAGACAAAAAATATATGTATAAGTTTTTATTTACAGAGATATAGTCTATGATGATCAACAATTTTTTTTCTTTGAAAAAATCAATAAAATCTTAAATAAAGTGAAAAAAAAAATTTCGGAAAAAAAACAAAAAAAAAAACAAATTTTAAGAAAGTTGCTTGAGGGATCAGTCTAAAGACAACTATGGCAGTTTCAAGATAGAAAAGATAAAAGTTTTAAAATAAAAGTGCTCTATCCTTCCACGAGTAAGAGCTAGTTTTTCAAGGCTTATCATGAATAGGGAAGTTTCAATGAGAGCATGATGGAAGCTTTAAAATGGAAGAACTCTACCTTTCCAATCATAATACCCAGTTTTATGATTTTCTTTAAGGTTTAACATAACTTCAAGCATTCCAGTAACACTTTCAACAACATCTACTTCTCCTTTAGGTCCACCCATGTCTGTTCTTACCCAGCCTGGATGGATGGATTGAACCAGAATTCCTTGTGGCTTCAGCTCAATACTTAAGCTCTGCGTGCTCATGTTCAGAGCAGCCTGAAAAAAATCAATACATAGTAAAATCAAAGCACTTCAGCCAAGATAGAGATTAAGGAAGAATAATGAAGGATATACATCTTGTCATGGTTTTAAAGATGACCACCTTAAGTTGATCGGAGCATTTCAGCAAGTTAAAACCTCACAAATGTATATTTTATTCTTTGAGGTAAAAAACTTCATTATTTATTAAACGACACTCCACAAAATTGATGCACATTTGCACTGGTCTGCAAATAAGTGAGACTTTAAGAACTGAGTGGATTACCATTCCACGATTACCTAAAATTTTACTTTAAAGAATTCAAAAATAGGTCCTTTTTCGGTAGGAGATGATCAAAGAGAAAACTAGCTTTAAATAGCGGCTCACACTACAGCTGATTTTAAAGAGTTTTTAAGAGCATCGCAGTAACACTGCCAGGTGTCGACAACCGCCACTTCTACCAATAAAATTTTTTTTTATTTAAGAATTTTCATTCAGAGTTTCAGACGTTTTGCACAATTTTTTAGTGAGGTATGAATTAAAAACCAAGGTAGGTCAAGCAATGCTTAATAGCAGCGGATACAAAAATTATTTGTACCAGATCACAAATATACAATTTTTTGTGTCTGGGTTTTTGTGAAAGAAGAGAAAAGGAAATAAAATCTTGAAAACAACTTGAATAATACACAAGCAAAAGGTTGCAATTTTTATTGACGTTAGATTTCTTTACATCTCTTTTTACGGCAACTGGGGAAATCTGCCTGCATACACAGGAAATTTGAAAAAGCATGCTAGGAACTACTCAAACTACCCAACTTGGATTGAATTTTAGACACTAATGATGTACCTGTCGAGTTTTTCATGTAATTTACCTCGAACAAGGATACTCACTTTACTGTATCTCTAGCATGCAACAAACCCATTTTTTAAAATTTAAAAAATCTGTTGGTGCCCTTTAGGAGAATGGCGGAGGCCCTACTTTCCCAGAAAAGAAATATCTAACCGATTCAAAACATACCTTGCTTTCTCGATAGCCATAATAGCCGGCTGATTCATTATTTTTTATTGATGCAAGACTTGAAGTAATATTTATGACACCTGCTCGAGAGATACTCAATCCTGCAAATACAATTATTATGTATAAAAATGTTAGGTGACTACAAAAAATAAAGAAAATTAAGATCTAAAATAAATGTTGCTAATTAGGACCATTTCTCGGTTTGTAGATTTCATTATTAATTTTTTTCCCCCTCCCCACCAAAATTCTCACTAAAACAGACAGAGGAGGGAGAAGTAAATACTGGATTTCACGAAAAAAATGTTCTTTGATTGCCTTTTCAGTAGCGGACAACTGAAGTTGATTCTCTCTACATACTCTGATTCTTTCAGGCCTCTCGTAAACATCGGCTGGAGGAAAGATAAGAGTTAATGGTTTAAAATTCACAATGGGCTCATTGGCAATGTTTAAAACTCACTCCTTACCTCACAATTTGTAGAAATAACTTGCACTATTTTGAGTTCCCTGCTTCAAAAAGTATACTATAGCAAAGGTAAACTTTGATATAGATGAGTCTTCCTATTTCACAATCGCATGTAGCTCAAAATGGATGTCATCCTGCAATATTTTTAAAACAAAAAAAGGAAGTACTTTTTTCCAAGAAACGCACCTAAAATGGTCAGTAAAGATGTTGGATGAGAGGCATCCTTTTTTTCTTTCTTTTTTCTTCTCTTTTTGTTTTAGAGTGAGTAAAGAAATGGGTAACTCCCTGATTAATTAGCATGGCCTTGTCATCTACTCTCAGTATGAAACTTCAACTTGGACCAAGGAAATAAAGTTACACTTATCTTGTTATCAGAGATATCTTACCACAGAAGCTTGTTTCATGTAAGATTGAAGAGATATGGGTTATTACTACCCGATCATGCTAAGATAAAGTGGGTTGAGTGTCATTAACAAATTCTCTTACATTTTGGTACATTTAGTAAACATTTGTGTGAACTTAAACATAAGGACACTTTTGACAGGATTGAATAATTTCTGGCATATTTTTAAACTATAATCAGTGCGCCAAAATGTTGACAGTCTAAACAACAACAAGCTTGAAAAAGCTGATTAGCTAAGCTACAATTGGATAATCTAAGGAATAAAAATTTTCTTGCTCTCCCCAAAAATTTTACGGATTTCTCTGGCTTCCTGAGGTATCTCGAACCAATGTTAAAAATACTATATCAAGTAAAAAATATAGGTACTTACCATCGTTAACTTTTCCAGCATTGACCTTAGCTGCCATTGTGAGCAAGGGTAAGAAAGCCTGAGGGTATAACAAAAATAGAGGGGTTCAAATTTTGTTCATTTTAGATCCCAGATTAAAAAACGTGGGAAAACCTTTAAAGATATAATTAATTTTTAAATGAGCATGGGGATCTTGAATAATACAAAAAATTTAGGATTAGTCAAACTATGTTTTTTGGAAGATTTCAGCCGTATCTATTCATTTCCAGCAGAAATCTCCCAATGATGGAAAATTAATTTTTTATACACAGGCTAATTTCAATTCTGTGATTTTTAAGGTTTTTAATTCAAATAAATTCTCTGTAACCAGTGTGTCTACTCAAAGACTACGGAGTAAACGTAACAAACAAACTGTCTAAAGAGATTTTTTCATATTATACTTGATATAGTTGTGCTACTGATCCTGATGACAATAATTCGCGTAATTTAGCAAAATGTGTGGCGAAGTCTGGGTCTGGAAAATGCAGAGACAAGCTGCATGAAGTGCAGAAAAAGGAAGCGAAAAGACCCTCCAATTAAAAAACATAATGCTGAATTCTTCCCATCTAGAAAGTTTAAATACAAAGAAGAAGATTCTTCTGATGATCGAAAATTTTGTTCTGAAGATTATATTGAAAAATTCCAAATTTGTAAGGAAAAAAACCTTTTTCTTATTTTAAGCAGGAGAGTGATCATGAATTTGGGTGGAAACTGAGGGTAAGCGATTTTTTAAAGGAAGAGTTCAAAAATGTTTGCTCTCTTGGTTAAAGCCATTCCAATCAAGTATTCATTTCTTATTTGTTTCCTGGACGTGCCTAAATTTTTTATATATTTAAAAATAATTTGAAATAAACACTTTTCGGTCGTTTATCCATGCTTTTGTCCTCACAGATAGTTCCAAGCCTAAATGAACTAAATCATAAAACCAGAAATGCTGACATGCTGAGTCAAGCAATGACTGTTACTTCATCTTTTTTTTATAATTTGGCCAAAATTTAATAGAATCAGTTTCTTTGTTTTTTACTTGTTTCTTAGAGCTTCCGTTTTAATGAGCACTTTAAGGAGGGCTTTGTCATTATTTTGAATCAATATATTACTATAAAACAAACTTTAAAATCATAGCATCAAGGAATTTTGGCACTCTGAATAAGAAGTAAACTTGTAAGAGAAGCACATGAAGAGATTACCTTAGTTAACAACACAGGTGCTACGGTGTTTGTCGAAAGGACGGACAGCATTTGTTCCGCCGTAACTGCATCCAACTTTGGCCGCGCCATAATACCAGCATTGTTTATTAAAAGAGTTAGACCTTTGTCACCTACAATGGGTCGCACCTCTCCCACCACTGAGTCGTAAGAGTCAAACTTGCACACATCTAGGGAATAAGAAACACCAACATCGCTTAAAGAATTGCCTATTGCAAACTTGTCACGATAAGTTTGGACACTTTTACTTAAAGAGGGTAAGAGAATAAAAATGGTTTAATATGTTGAAAACCGGATTGAAAAGTTCTCAAATGAAAAATTGAAAATTTTTCAGGAAGAGCTTGGGAGAAGCTTCAGATTCCTCTTGGAATCCTTGGGAGATGTCAATTTAAAATAATAGAAAAAAAAAAAAAAAAACCTCATGGAGTTAAATAATTTTGAACGAAACATGTAAAAAAAAATTTCATGAGTTTTGGAAAACCATGCTGGTTCTTTCACAATGAATCTCTAGGACTGCACACATCCTAAATTTACTGGGAACAATGATACACTGACAAATCAACCATTTCACATCACTTGCTGAGAAAAATAGATAAAAATGACAAATTGTACAACCTGCAAGGACCAAAGGGCATTAAACAACCTACAGTAATGACTGAGATCTCCACATGTTTTTCCTCATACACATTTAGCTGGAGAATTTCTCCACTTGGTCTACCCTTAAAGTACAAACAGAGGGTGGTGGCTGATTTTTTTTTTGACCTTTCTAGATCAGGAGTCAGAACCCCTTTTGCCTGTCCACAAACTACAGACTTTCCTGCACACTCTTCATTAGATTTCTTTCTCCTATTGCTTGTACTTTTTTACTTTATTACAATGGCCATCTAATCTAAAATTACTACCATCTTCAGTTTTTCTCTATGCAGTCTTTGCACTCTTTCATAAGAGTTGCAAGTTTAATAGTCGCCCAAAGACTTTTTTGGTGTTGTTGAATGCATTCCCCATTTTGACAGTGAGACTGCGGAAACGCATTTATCAGTTGCAATGTTTCAAATTCTCTGCTCCTATTTTCTTTTTTCGAAGGATCCCATACCAAATTCATGACTTAAAATTATCTCAGAATATTATTTACACAGAGAGTGAAAATTGCCAAAGCTTCATTCCGTTCAAATTTTTTCAAAGTTAGCTGCCCTGCTACAATTGGGCTTTTTTTTCTCTTTCCTTTTTTTTTGTATGTGCTTGTAGTGCTGTGGGAACAAACACTCAGGAAAGTAACGAGTTGTAACACAGAATGTTAATAAAATTGGGTACTTTGAGGATAGATAAAAACTTGTAATTGGCCTCTCATCCAGAAGAAAATTTCTTACTTACCTAATTGAACAACGTGTAAATGGGAGTTACTTTTCTTCAGATCTTGCAACGCCTAGAAAATCAAGAAAAAAAAATGTTCAGGATTTTGTACGGAAGTCTTAACATCAAAATTAGCTGTGGCTTAAATGTCCTTTTAGTATTCTCATTAATGTGGACAAACAAACACAAAGACAGCCAGTGAGCATCACTTATAATTTGATCTTGTTTTCTGTGGATTAGGAAAGCAATTTTAGAGTAAAATTAAAGATTTTTACTCCAACAGCCCCCTGCCCCTCTTCAAAGACCTACGGCAATATTCTCATCAGACACATAGACATCTTTCATAGGTACTTCATTAGGTATGGGGGATTAAAAATACATCCAAAATTACATCAAGATTTTAAATTTGATTGAAAAACTAAGTAGGTGTAATGGTCAAAATATCAGTGAAATACCTCTATTCAGTCGTTACCACAATGCCCTTGATTAAAACTTTGCAATGACTTTGCAAGTGACTAAATCAAAAAGCAATGAGGACACAGGCAGATAAAGTGAATGGATATCAGACATTTTCGCAAGAGCAAAGACAGATAAAAAGAGAGGGAAAGGGCGAGATGACTATTCAAAATAGAGAGAAGAGGCGAGAGTCTGCACTAAACGCATTATAGCTGACGAGAAGAATGAGGAACTCACCGTAGCATTTTCAGGAGAGCGGCATGCAGCTATGATAACTTTGATGTTGACGAGAGGGTTAGACAGAAACTGTTTCACGAATTCTAAGCCAATTCCTCGGCTGGCACCTGTTATCAGCACAGAATCAAGGTTTGCCATATATATCTATGAATTGACGACTGACCTATGAGACTGAGAAAAAAAGAAAGAAAAAAGTAAGAAAATGGTTGTTGCTAATTCTAGGTTTTTTAAAGTTTTTTTTCAAAATCCCTCATTTGCAATGGTAATGGACAAAGATTAATTATATAAGCTGAAACATTTCTTTTTTATGCCATTTTCTTAGGTATACATCCCATCATCCTTCTTCCACAAGGATCTTTCCCGAGTCCAACGCTTACAGATATATAAACGTAATAATTGAAAAAACAGAAAAAATCTTGTTGGAAATTCTATACACTTAACAATTTTTTTCATTGACTCCTGTTCAGAATTTGAAAAAAAAAGTGTCCTCTTGAAAATGCCAATGGGTGATCTATCTGAACCCTAAGATTTGTGAAATTTGTTTTGAATAAAGACAAGAACTAAGAACGGTTCTGATGGAATTCTACAAAGCTACATTCACATGAGGCTTCTTTTTGTCTTTTTCAAAAAAAAAAAAAAAAAAAAAAAAACCCCAATGTACATATATTAAAAATATGTAGCCTTAACTTCACATGTCTTTCAGTTCTTTGTTTCAACAATGATTTTATGGTCATCAGGATAAATTATTGAACAATTTCTAAGAGAGAAGGACCACATTAACTTTCAACCACTAAAAGCCCATGTTGAAAAACAAACAAAGAAAACAAATTATACCTTTATAAAATGATCTTGAACTGTAAATTCATCAGGTTTTTAGATTCTATTGGCATTTAAAGCAAAAATTAAAGAGTTATAAAACTTGAGGAAACTGCTACTTTTTTATGGTAAGTATTTAAAAAATTCTCTTTAAAGCTCAGCTATCACACTATAAGTAAGGAAAAAGTGAGTAAGTAAGTAAGTGAATAAAATTCATAAGTTTTGAGCGACAAATTTTACTTACTTGAAACAAACTAAAAGGTGGGCACCTCTACTTGGTGTCACTATTAAATATTGTAAATGTGGAATTTGAATTTCAGCTAATGCATTATTTCTTATTTTATTTTTGTCATATTTTTATCACTTAAAAGACCAAGGAAAAACATTGAGTAGGTAAAAATTAGAATAGAAATAGAAAAATATGAGTACAATTATTTCATAAAATTGTATTCATTATTGTAATTTAATTTTGTACATATTGAAGGTACTTAATGGGCCATCTTCTTAATTTTACATTAATAACTTTATTTCCACCTTGTAATCATGTCAAAGTTAGCTTATCTTGAAACTCTGATAATGGTATTGCACTTATCAATAATTGACATGAGTCTTCATTTCATTTCAATGATAAAAATTAATTACGAACTAATCTAATACCTTTTTCAGGGAAAATGAAACGTTTTAATTTTTATTGAAATAATACTTTTGGTTGTATACAAATCTAAAAAGCTTGAATGAACAACTTAATAGTTTACCAATAATTTGATAGTTGTATTGTCACCCCTCCCAAAAAAGAAAAAACAGAAATAAAATTGAGGGAGTAAAATAAGTATTGTTAAAAAATATTTCCTTGTCAAATGCTGAGATGTATATTACAACAAAAATACTAAGTACATGGTCAGGGTTACAAACAAAAAATCTCAAAAAGGGTTGCAACAAATGCAAATGAAAAAAAAAAAAAAAAAAATACATAAATGAATGCAATACTTAAGTAGCTGCTAGATCGATGAACAAAATAAAATCAAAGTGAGAAATTTGAGAGAATTAAGTAGAAAAATTCTTCAAAAAAGTACAAAACGCATAAGGTAAAGGTTACAAGTGACAAAAGAAAGTATCCACTTAAGTTTGAGTAAACTACACGTCACATTACAGAAATAGATATTATCAAGCAGTGGTTTTTATATGTATCTTCTTTTTTTCAATTTTTTTTTACAGAAATACCTATTAACAAACTTTACCATGCTGCCAAAAATCAATTTAGCTTTGATTGAAACAATTTTGAGACCTGTTTTTCAAGATGGAGCGGTTACATATCTTATCGTTCAGTGCAGGCTACCACTACTGGTGGCCCCTATTTCACAAATTGTATCAGACCTGAAAATCCATGGTTTTTGTTTACCACCAGCGTAAACACCAGCATATGTTTGCTCATCTGTTTTATAATATATGACAGTGCTGGGTGATTTGATACTATAACTCTCAAGAGTTTTCAGTGTATTAATGACATCATTTAAATCTGTATAATCTTTTGTGTAAATAATCAGCACGTGTGAAGAATTTTTTGGGTTAACAGTCGACACTTTTGCTTGCCATAAGTTTCCTTCAGATACGGCTAGCTTTACTGTATCCCAAGCAGCATTTATGCTATGCTTTGGAAGAAAAACCATCCATTTGCCAATTTTCTGAGAATCTATAGTTGCGCTGTCATACTTATCATTGGAAGCCCAGAGAAAATAGACATCTTCACTCTGATGAATGTCGGTAGGATATAATGTACAATCTGCAATAACTTTCTGTTCAGTGACACTATACTTATAGGTATACATTTTAATCAGAAGTTGCCTTATGTACTAGATGAACAAGAAAACTTTTTGGACGGTGAGAATACTCCAAACGAAATCCAATGAGAATGTTAGATCATGAAGTTTGTGTATGTTTTTAGTTTCCTTTTAATGACATCTAATTCTGGAAAAAATTATAAGTAAAAAAAAAAAATAAAATTATGAGGAATTTTCCAGACTCCTAAGAACACTTTAAAGCTCTGACAGTAACTTTCTTTAAAAGTACAAGACCAACCAATGCCTTTCCAATGCAATGATAATCCCCAGAGAAAAAGCTGAGTTTTGATACTTACACATTTAAATAAATTTTAAAACTAGAGATGAAGCACAACGCATCTCAATACAAGCTAACAAGAGCAAAAATTAGCAGTGCTTTAGGAAAGACACATCGTGGTAAATGGATAAGGCAACATGCATATCCACATCTCAGATGTTCATCATCTCCGAGGCCATTGGGGTCATGGATTCTCTTCGCTAACCCTCACTCAGGCAAGGGCCATGCGGTTACAGGAGGGAATCTTATTTGCGAATAGATAAACTGAGCTTTTCAACATTGCAGCCAATTTCCTATGGCGACTGAAAAGTTCTTACTGTATTTTGCTGGCATCTGGACGTTGGCTTTTGGAATTTCGCCCATTTCACCTGACCCAAAAATCGCAGCGATCGATCCAGTAGATTTCCAAAAGTAGGAAGTAGAGGACCCAACTCTGGAGAATTTAGGGCAGGAAAGGGGTGAATTTGAACATGCTGTCATCTGAGGCCACAAAATGTGAACAATTTTGTGGGTATTGGGGCTACATCAGGTGGAAAATCCCCGGTGCATAATGAGGGCGAATTGTGTAGGAAACATAAAGTGTTGAAAAGTAGATATTTTTCAGAACTATTGGGAGGGAAGTGAGAAAGCAAAAGCTTCCAAAGTTTTCAAATTTCTGTAAAAAACCAAATGATTTAGGCTTACCAAGAGTGCTCAGTTTCCAAGGTTTTCGGCGAGATTCAATGTGACTTCAACTTCTACAATTCTGAACCTCAGAAGAACTTGATTACGGTAGGTTTAATTTATAGATTTACAATTGATGATAAAGCACAAATTTCAATTTAATGACTGAACTGGGGCCTACCGGGCGCAACTAACTAATGCAACAGGTTTGTACCATAATTAGTACTTTGAACTTGCGGGTGAGATGAGGAATTGAGGAGGGGGGGGGGAGCCGGTTCGGTTTGTTTATTTATTTTATCAGCGTCAAGTGTGCAGGCTTGTCACACATGAGAAACTTTATTACACTGAGAGTTGACCAGAATGCCTAATAATTTAACAGTAATTAGTTGAACCTAGTTGGCTAAAAAAAATTACATATTATAAAATTTACTGGTAGATTAACTAGTTTTCTGACTACTAAATGCTGACAATAACTCATTAATTAAACCATAACGAATCTAACTCCGAATCAAAATAAGTTGTTACACATGCAGATGACAACAAACCTCATCAGATTTGAGGTTAGGAATTTTTGTTTTGGTTGAGGTTTGATTTGGTTCGCCAACATTTCGCCAACAACGCAGGACAGTCACGCACTTTTACCCACTTCAGGAGGAATATTGCCGTGTAAGAAACTTCACATAGTTGTAGTCATTTATTTTTTATGCTAATAAGGTTTTTAGTCACATGTTTTCCATAGTTATCATCTGACCGCTCGTCTCTTTCACCGCAGAAAGTGACAGCGGAAAGTCGAATTAGTCGATACTTTCACGTAAGTTTAGTGTTTGTTCATCCAACGTATAAATTTTAAGAGCCTCTTTAAAGAATACCTTTTTCAGTTTTAGTGGACCTCTTTTTTATATTTCGTCACCTTCCAGGCAAAGTATCACAAGCGCCATGCGACGTTTAAAAATTTCCGCCGCCATTATATTTTTTTACAGAGAAATTGTTCAACGAAGCTGTCCGAAAATTACACCGAATTTTCTTTGTGCTGCCGATAAAATTTAGTGAAATTTTCGAACAGATTCAACCAACAATTTCTCAGTAAAAAAATAAAATGGCGGCGGAAATTTTTAAACGTCGCATGGCGCTTGTGATACTTTGCCTGGAAGGTGACGATTTGTCATGGAGTCCGGCTAATGGGTCCCAATTTGATAATTTAAGAAATGAGACATCTCTACCATAACCAACAGGGCCAAGCTCTTAAAAGATGGTTGCAGAACATTCTTACGAGCCAGTGAGTAACATTTTACTTTGCCAGCTGCTCTTTTACTGTAAGGCCATTTGTGATTTGTTTCACCATTGACAGCGGCCGCAGAAGGAAAGGGCTTTAGAACTTTGAGTGGAAACTTTAGTTGCACCTTTTCAACAAATTATTTTAGGCACATACCTGTTGGGAGATTGAATTTCGCTGTGGCTGTCTTTCATAATAATTTCTGCTTACCGGAGTTAATTTTACAACCCTTGGTGCAGAGAACTCTGAAGAATCTAGAGAACTATCCCCTCTAATGGATTTCACCGTTGTTAGGAGATGCTGCAAAAACGTGAAAAATGCAGTACCTAATTGACGCCTCTTTGCTATGAAGGAAATATGTGTCTGTTTGAGGAGTTTAGAGATCATGCCATTGTTCACCACCAAGATTATGACACGTTGATCTCAATAGGCAGCACTACAGAATTTATTTTAATTTATCCCTTCTTTCTTACAGATTTGCCATCAAGTAATGGAATTCAAGAGCTATGCAGAGTACCCTGAAAGGTTCGTCTGATGACTCGCCGCGAACGCAGTTTAGCTATGGAGCAGAAACAAGTCATGTCAATCTTTCCAACAGACATCCAAACAGAACCAACTACAGTCAATCTGATGGCCATCAGCCCACAGATACAAATGAATTATTTGCAGATGAACAGGTATAAATTGATTGAAATTTGATTAGGTGTAGATTGACAAAAATCAATCTTCATCCAAAAGAAGATTTTCAAGATTTTCAAGTCAATAATAGCTTACAGCGAAGATGCACTTCCTACGAAGTCAAACTAAGGAGCATGTTGATGCTGCAGCTGCAGAAATGCGTATCTTGGTTTGCGCATTGCAGACCTCCTGACGTACTTTATTTTCTACTTGGAAAGCTACTAAACATCATTTCTTGAAAACTTTGGTTATATTTTTCTTTTCTATACAAAGAATATTTTTTGAAAATTTCAAGCCATGATGTAGGTTCAGTCTTCTTTTGAAAAAGGAAATAGGAGCGAGGATTTAAAAACATAGCAACCGACACACTTTAGCAGTTTCACAGGCAAATGCTGCACAGTATTGTCAATTTAAGCTTGACAAAATGCAGAGCAAATGAACAAAACCAAATGATAACTCAGAAAATGGAGAAAATTTAACTCCGTTAAAATTTCCACAATTTTCGCTTACATTTGTTCATGTTACCTATCTTTTTTGATTTTAGTGATTTTATGAATTGAGATGCAAAGTAGGTCTTAAAAATATTCTAAAAGCATGTTAGCATAAATCTCGAGTTAAATTAAATTCATATACAGAAATATTTTGTTCTTTCCAACTTGGTACTCTCAGTATTTTTTTACCTCGATTCTGAAGTCTCTCATCACTATTCCATTTCTATTGCAGATTGAAGAGCCATGGTGGAAGTCACAGTTTTTCATCTCGCAACCTGTTTTGTTCGGAATGTGGGATGGTGTATTCACCTCCTGTCTCATTAATATTTTTGGAGTGATCGTCTTTTTGCGATCTGGATGGGTAGTTGCTCAAGCTGGCATTTTAAATGCTATTCTCATCATTCTTTCCTCTGGTATGTGAGGCTCCACTTTGTAGTAAGCTGTTTTTACCTTTTGTGGAAGTTTTAAATATTGACCTAAAGTTTATCCCTTACCGAGGCATTTCAATGTAAATCAGATATTTTTCTGTAAGCTTATATATAAACTCTGAAAACATGAGAGAAGCTTTGAATTTTTAAGCGAATCTGTGATAGATTACAGCAAACCTCTGTCTGATAAAATACTAGGTACCTACTTCATATTGGGAAGTTAATCTACCAATTTGTAAATTACTTTTTCCCCTGAACTCGATAACATACTTAGATACCTAAAGTTTTGTTTTATTCTTCCAAAAAATGTCTTTAAGTTTCACTTCAAAGGTGAACTTAATTTCTTTGTATTTTTTTCAATATAACATAAAAGTGATTCCACTAAGACCTTATAGAAAATCACGTCCTCTGTTACTAAAAAGCTCAATACTTTAGAGTAGACCTTGCATCTAATTAAAACATTTTATTTACCTTTTGTTCCCTTCACAAACATTATTTAAATCATTTTCCCCCCTTTCCAGTTGGTGTTGTATTAATATCTGTCCTATCAGCTGTGGGTATTTGTGAAAGATGCCGAGTGGAGAGTGGAGGCGTTTATTTTCTCCTAGCTTATGTTTTGGGCTCTCGATTTGCAGGGGCTATTGGCTTACTTTATACTTTTGGACAGGTAAGTTGAACTATTAGTTAACTTCAAAAGCTCATGAGTGACCAGTGTTTGAAACTCACAGGCGCCAAATGCGCCTAAAAAATTGGCCATGGCGCCTAAAAAATGAAGGCTCTGCGCCAAAGTGGCCCCTAAAAATTGCCCCCTAAAAATCTGGATTTTCATAGGAAGTCGCATAAAGAAAGGAAAAGAAATCTATTTGAATTGAAAACAACTCAGAATTGTCAGCACTACAAGTGAAAGCTTTTTTTATTCTTCACAATTTCATTCTTAGTGCTTTTGTCTTCTCCAAGTTACAGCTACACACTATTTCTGTTACGAAAACATCTTGCGTCTAACTTTTCACTAAATGCGCCATAATATGTAGGCAAAAAGTCAATTTGGCCCCTAAAAAATCTTCAATGGCGCCTAAAAATCGGGCTTGATGCGCCACATGGCTCCTAAAACTCGAAGGTGAGTTTCGAACACTGCAAGTGACAAAGCCATAGTGTTTTAAAATGTGCTAGTTGATAAATTTCAGTAATTTTGGGGTAAAATTGGAAACAAAGAGAGTCTCTCTTTGAACTGTTGGTATGGTTTCAAAGAAAATATTTAGGATACCATCTGGTTTTAGGGATTAAAATAGTTTGTACCTTAGTTTTAAGGATATTAGAGTGCTCTTTGTCAAAAATTTAATTTCCCCGATTTTTACTGTCTGTATCTAAAATCGTAAAACCGATTACTGAACACTTATCGTTCAGAAGGCATAATTCCTCTTACATTGATGATGTGCTACAAAAAAGCATATCTGGGACGCTGCAGATTCCCCGTTCACTTAACACTATCTCTTGAAAACTTCTCTGAATTTTTTTCTCCGGTTGAAGAATATTCTGTAAAAATGTCGAACAATAGTGTTGGTTTCTTTTCCTGCAATAAAATCGAATAGAAGAGCGATTTATCGAAAGCAAAGGCATTTCAAGATTCTGCAAACGAGTTATGCCTTTTTTCAGCCATCCCAAAAATATGTATTTCCTGCTAAAAAAAAGAAGCACATGCATGATCATATTCAGGCTTCTTACCTTCTTTGAGTTTTTTGTTTTGTTTCTCTGATTGACATTTAATACAAAAATAATTTACATTTCAATTTTCATACATTCTCAGGCAGTTGGTTGTGCGCTCAGCATGCTGGGTCTGGGCGAGTCAATTGCTGGTTTGTTAGAGATTGAGAAAAATCCGTGGGCACAAAGGGTCTTTGCCAGTCTAGCTGTCATGGTCCTAAGTGTCATTGACTTGGCGGGAATCAAATGGGTTGTAAAATTGCAGTTTGTCCTCCTACTGGTTTTACTCTTTGCTGGGCTAGACTTCGCTGTTGGTAGCTTTGTTCACACAGACGTTCGTAAGTTCTTTTTATCTTAAATTTAAGAGTAAAGATTTTTTGTTTTTATATCTGAATGCAAGTTTTTTCAAATCTCAATTGCCAACAGCTGCATTTTCAACTATTTAGTTTGTTGTATAGAGCTGTATTTTGTCTGGTGTAACAATCATTACAGTCGGCCATTAGTGCTCAACATTACTATTTTTTTATTAGTGAGTGAGTGTAGGCAAAGATTATTTATTTTGAGTTTTTTCCTTCCTGTAGCAGCACTGATCATACATAATATTCTGTTATGCAAGAATTGGACATGCTACAACACCCAGATTCCTCGACTCCGAAAGTGTCACATACAGTGCTTTGAATCTTGCTGTCCTAGACTGCTTTCACATTCAGTGTAAAAATGCAACACAAGTATTAATAATGCGTTTTATGTCTTCCAATATTTGAGCTGAAATTGTAATCAGCAAAATGCTGCTCACTGTTTTTTTTTTTTTCACCATCATAGTTCCTCTACAAAGGGTAAATACTCTCGCGAATGTATAAAGGTGTTAGATTAGAACATAATACTGTCATTTGCAAATTTCATGCTATCCCATTTTCCAGTTAAAAACTTTGATTCGCAATCAGTGCAATTTTTCTAATTATTTTCTTATTTTCTTCAATGATGTCCTAAAATGGTGCTAAATTATGTACTTATTATAATTTTAGGAAGTGGATTTGATGGCTGGAGCATTAGTCACATCAAGGAAAATCTTTGGTCTGAGTATTTTGATAACTACAGCTGGTTTACTGTCTTTGGTGTTTTCTTCCCAACCATAACAGGCATTATGGCAGGGATCAATATGAGTGGAGATCTCCGTCACCCATCTGAGGATATTCCTAATGGGACCTTTGCTGCTTTAGGCACAGGGTGAGAATATTCCTATGTATTCTCTGCATAACCAAGCCTTCAGTGTTTGCCTTAAGTTAATTTTAATATTGTTTTAATTGATAGAAGTAACCTTTTTTACTAATGATACTATTTTTTAAGTTACCAAAAGTGTCTAACTGTGCTGGACAAGGGTGTTTGCCAAAAGGAATCTCAAGTTGTTGCAACATTGTGTAAACACACTCATTAACATGAGTGTATTTTTTCGACAAAAAATTGTGTAAAAATTTGGTTGATAATTTGATGTTTGTTAGAGGGTATAATCCCTCCTGCTTTTTCTGCAGTATCTGTTCAAGACAAAAACCTGTGGTCATAATTTTTCTTATTTTTGCAGAACTGGGTTGTATCTATTATTTGCTCTTGTCTTGGGATCAACATGTTCCCGCATAGCACTCAAAGATGACTACTTGATGTCAGCCAAAGTCTCTGCTGTTCGTAAGTTGACTCTTTTTTCCTTTGATTGCAATTCATATTCCTATATTGTTTTGTAGTCTGAATTTGTTATGCTCCTACGCTCTTGAAAATATGTCGTTTTCTCTCTCCTTGTCTCTCTTTCACCTTTTAAGACCAGAAAAAATATTTCAACACACACAACACAAGTTTGTAACACTGTGTTTTCTAACTCAGTCAAAGAATGGATATGATCAAAGAAATTGATCAATCTGTACATCTTAGTAACCTTGTACATAGCAGACAACATTTAAGCCATTTTTTTCGGCATGACAATTACATGGTGGATTTCATTAATGATAACTAAAAATCCATCATATTATAAGTATAAATGCATTAAAAGGAGACAGAGACTTTATAGATCATGGCCGGTGGTGGCAAATTTGTTGGTTTTTGTGAAGAACGGTCAGTGGTTTTGGAAAATTTTGCACTTCTGCAGTCATTGATTTCCTATATTGTCTTTAAAGAATGAAACGTAAGTCACTAATTTTAAACCAAGAAATGTGTCTCTCAGGTCCGGTTTCGCAACGAGGAAGAGGAGAGAATCAGAAAATGATCGAACTCAAACTCAAAAAATTAACTAATATTTTACCAATTCTCTTTCCTTATTTATCGATCGAGCTCACAGTTTACTACCTCGTATTCCTCCACTAGTTTTGTTGTTTTTTTCGTTTCTTTTGGTTTTGTACATGTTGGTTTCTTAAATTTAAAAAATTATACACATTTTGTGCTTGTCAGCGGATGATATTTAAAGAACAAAATCTTGAAGAAGCTTTAAGTATTATTTTGCCACAAATCGCAACTTATTTTATCATTCTACCGTACTTTATAGGTGTGCTTCTGCTTGCTGGTCTTTATGTTTCGTCCATGTCAAGCTGTTTGGGTGCCATTTATGGCACTGCACGTGTCCTTCAGTCCATTGCCAATGAAAATTTAATTCCCTTCAGCAATGTTCTTAGTAGAGGGGTGAGTATTAAATTCATTCACTCATACTCTTTTTCTATGATTTGTACCCAATTTCCTTGTAGCCATAGCATGAAATAGAGAAAGTAGCCCACCTAAGTAAAAATATAGGTGAAGAAATAGGAGACCGGTGACAAACATTCACTTCATTGACAAAACAATGGGAGGCACAAAACACCAAATATGTTGTACAGTGTCTGCTATGTTCCCCGAAAAAATCACTCAGGTGTTGCACAAGGTTTTATTACAATTGCAGTAGGTTTGAAATTCAGTGCCATTATACACCATTTTGTTCAAGTTTTACCTCCAAGCACTATTTTGTCCCTTAGCAATAAAATATTGCTCTGAATGCATCTCCTAACACCAGTGCAGTCTGTCGGTCTCGAACTCATTCCGAAAATCTCATCACTATTGAAACACTTTTTACATGAATACATAATACACCAGAGCTATTTTATCCGTAGAGTACATAGAGTAATGTAAGTGGGAGAGCTGGCGCCATGTTCTGCTTGACGAGTTCCAAGCCAGGTGTGTGGGGTCACTTTTTCATATTCGATCCAAAATGGCTGTGTGGAATATGCCCGAGTCCCCATGTATCGCAAACAAACGATTATGTATCGAAAATGGGACCCGGCCCCGCACAGGAATCTCGGAATTCGGGTCATGGGAACTGCTTAAAAGTGGCGCCAGCTCTTCCTCTTACATTACGACTCTATGCACTCTATGATTTTATCTAGGAAACGGTTGTGTATGAATTATTGATCTCTTATAGTGGTGAGAAATGAAGTATGTAGTCTCTCTGCTTTTAAAAGTACTCAACAAGACTACACTTCGAAATGAGTTTGAAATGAGAAAAAATGAGTTTAAAAATCTGGAAACCGTTTCAAAAAAGTACGGACTTTGTCATATCACTTAATCATTGTCTGTCGAAAAGACGCACTTGATCCTTATTTTATGAAGAAGTTGATGACACCTTCACCTCAGCATTCACTGTGCACTGATGCTGATAATTAATAAATACATAATCATTTGTGATCAAGGACGTTTGCACAGAGCAATTTGGAAATGCTCTTAACAAGCTTGCAAAAAATTACAGCATCTCCAAGACTAATTCAGCAACTTCAAAACCAGCATCTGGCTTAATGTCGAAGATATGTTCTTCAAGAGTGCTGAAAGTTCTTTGTTTTCACATTTTTTTCCACAAGGCCGTACACCTCATTATTTTATCAGCATGGAAAAAGCACACGTCACTAGTTTCTCTGCATTAAAAAGTGCATTTTTCAGTTTCCTTTACAAGAAGTGATGTGCTCAGTAGTTTCGCTCTAAAAAAGTAATGCGTTTAATGATTTTCTTCAAATAACCTAACGCCTTCGTGTGAAAAAATAGAACAGGAAAGTTAAAAATTTTTTTGGCTTCTGTAGTCTTTTTTAAAAAAAGAAGAAACTTGTCTCTTGTACGTACAGCTCTCATTGCAATGTATGGAATCGACCAAATCATATATTTGTTTATATTTTTTAATTTCAGAAAGGACCCAATAGACTTCCAGTCTCTGCCATGGCTCTGACTACAGGAGTAATAGTCATTTTCACACTTTTTGGAGATATTAATTCCTTAGCGCCGATTGTAACAATGCCATTCCTACTCATGTATGCTTCGGTTGATTATGCTTATTTTGCACTAGCCATGACATATGATTTGCAAAGCAAAAGAGAACAAAAACTCAGGTAATTGATAATTGATATATAAAGTTTTACAGATCATAATTCTCATATTAATGAATCAATCAGTAATGTCAATTATGATCAGTCCCAAGCATCTGAAATGCTCCTATGTTAACCTCTTACTCTTTCCTACTCAAAAAACAGGTTTGTAGTTCCTGCGAGGGAAAAAAAGCCTAAAAGCCAAGCAATGTATTGATTAAAACACAAGCCCATGTTTTCTTTGTTTGGCTCGTGAATATTTTGTATATCTATGCATTCTTAGCATAATTTTTATTGTCATGGGAACGGAGTTCCCCATGATATTAGAATCGTTCCGTTGCTTTCGCTATGGGATTCCCTATACCTCTGCAACCTTGAGCGTTTCGCCCAGTCTCCGATTTTTGGTTGATTTTCCGATGTATCAAAAACCGTTGTATTTTTTAGCCAATCATGTCTCTACGTCAAGTTGTGTTGATTGCTAAAATTCGCTTTCAGCGAGTTTTTTTCCACCTTGAGATGTCGTGTCTGACTGGTAAATCTGCGCAGAACCACGAAGTTCCGTTTTTAGGCAAATTCTTTTTTTTGGGAGGTTCTGATTGGTTATTTTTCGCCATCAGTTTTCTGTTCGTTGGTGCAAAAGATCGCCTACCTCGGTGTTCTTGAGAAGCCGCCATTATCCCACCTCAAATTTGAAAAATAGAAGTAAAGAAATAATAACCATCGTACAAGGTGGAAAATTGTTCTGGAGGACTCGTTACGGATAAAGAAGTCAAAATCAGAGCTCGATTGATTGATTTAATTCATGGATACGCAAATATTGCCTTAGCTCAACTGCCGCGATCGGAATGCGTGCTGGCATGAACCTCGAGACGCATTAAAACAGTGCGAACCATGGCTCCTACAGCAAAACAGCAATGCGCTTCATATCATCCCAAAAGCAGTCAAGGTCTCTTGTGATAAGTCCCGCCCATTGCCCGAGTCTTTTGTATGCTATTTTTACTCTCGCCCACGTGGATCCATTATAGCCTAGTTGACTAAACCGCCTCGTATTTTTGATTCGGTGCGGGCACCCGGCGATCGGGAGTTCGATACCCGACGATGGGAACTACTTTTTAATGGTTGTATTGAATGTTTTAGACTAATCATCAAAAAATAATTAATAGTAGATGATAAATGTACGAACATTTTCTCGTGAGTTAATATGTTAAACAAAAATACTGGAATATACCTCCTTCATATAATCAGCCACATGTTCCCCCAAATTAATGACGTTATTTTCTTTTTTCAATAAAGTTAATTTGCATTCAACGTTCGTAAGTTAAGCAAAAAGTACCTATTGATACAAATAGAAAGACATGAAAATAGTATGTCTGACATTTCAGTTTTTTTTTTTTTTTTATTTATTTTTTGTTTTTTTGTTTTTTCAATAAAACAAATTGACTGGGACTAGAATCATCGTATCTCTGAAGACAAAAGCTAAGTTTTTTGATACAGAAATACTAATATATTCATCCTTTATATAATCAGGGAGATGTTGACCCAAATATTGATGTATATTTTCTCTGTTCGCCCAAATTAATGATGGTATTTTCTTTTTTCAATAAAATTAATTTACATTCCACGTTCTTAAAGCAATATTTTCTCCAAAATTCAGCAAAAAATAACAATTTATACCTACGCAAAAAGTAAATAAATAAATAAAGCAATGACATGAAAGTAGTATAGGTAGTACACATCTAACATTTCGGTTACATCTATTTGAATGAAAAAAATGGCAACTTAGGAAGCACATAGGTCACTTATCGACGGTGAAACTACCAAACCACGTATCTCGGTTTGCGACGTCGCAGACTTCCTGTCATACTTTATTTTTTAAATGAAAAGCTACTTAACGTCCAGTCTTGAAAATTTCCGTGATTTTTCCTCTTCGTGCGGAGAAAATTCTGTGAAAATTTCAAGGAATGATATTGATTTGGTCTACTTCAAAAAAATAAAATGTGAGCGGAGATTTTTAAACACCGCAAACGAGATACGTGGTTTGGTAGTTTCACCGTCGTTATGATGCGTATTCGGGCATATGCGTAGAGTAAAAATATCATACTTTACGCCGAAAAAACGAAACTGAAAGTTAAATGCGTTAACTTCCAAAAACCATACATAATCCAACGAAAATAAATAATTGGTAAATAACAGCTTTCTTGTATGCAAAGAAAAAAAATTAAAAATGTTAAAAAAGAGATGTCGACACAAAATTACATAGCCCCTTCAATTCTGAAGATACTACAAACGAACTGTACCTACCTTAAAATTTTCATATCCCAGAAGCAAAAGTTCCCATGACGAATATTGCTATCGCTAGCGATTGCAAAAACCAACTTGTTTATTTTTTTTATTGTCATCTAGTCAGCAAATAGCCTAAAAGAGCCCTATTTTCTTTCTTGCTTGCATAAATCGCCTCTTGAAATTTTTGCAATTCAAATGTATGTTTTGAAATGATGTGTAATTGAGCAGAAGAACAGTAAAGCATTGTTTTTGTAGTCAGGTAAAAATTTGGTAACTCAGTTTTGGAAGGAGAATTCTCTTTGCAGTATCACAAAGGATATGTTGCAAGCTGTTTAATTCATATCCTACGAACAAAGGGTTTAAAGCTACCATTTAATCTGAATATTTGGAGCGCTGAAAATAACATTTAAAACTTTGAGATAGCTTTTTTCAGAGTTAAGTTTTTTGAACTAACTGACAACTTTAATTTGTTTGGTATTGTTGGGCGTTCTTGCTAAAATGTTCGCAAAATACTCTCCCATATAATAATATCAATAATTTTTCAAGCTTTTTCGCTTCATGGATGGTCACCTTTGCATGTCAGATAAAATTGTGCCAACAATATATTTATTGGCCTTGGAATACCTATGCAATGATACCGAGTTTACCATAAAATATTTTTGCAGAAAGCACTCTCTAAAACTAAAATTTTTTGTGTGTTTTCCTGTAGGTCAACCGCCAATAATCAAAACGTTGGCAATGCCTCCTCTGGTCAAAATTGTGATCTAGACTCCTTGTTTCCAGAAAGATATCAGCTTCCTAATAGTTCTATAATGGTTTGTGTGTTTGTTTAATACTTGCTTATCAGTCCTTGTGACAGCAGTTCTTAGTGGATCACAAGACAAGTTAATTACTATACAAATGGAAGACTTGTTTCCTCATCAAAATTTTGTGCAGAAGATGTTGAGTATACCAGTAACCTCAAACATCAACTCCTGAGTGTAAAATTGGTATTTGCAGTTTATAGTGTAAACCATAAATTTAAACATCCCACTCACAAGAAAGTACTATAGTCAGTGTAGGTCAAAGGAGTCTTTAAAAACGAGCTGCATGTCAGGCAAATAACTGGAGTTTAGTTTCGTGTGCACTTACCTTCTCCTCTGATTCATGGCACCTTTAATCTTGTTTAAATACAGTGACCGCACAGGAAAATTTTTCCGTTGTGAAATTTACCGATCACTTGACTAGGGTAAGCTTTGGTTTTTTAAGAGCGGAAAGTGTTAATTTGTATAAACAAAGGCGATTTTCTCATTATGAGTTGGATTCAAAATGTTTCAATGCATCAATTGGACGTATTTCTGCCAAACAAAATTATGTCCATTATGACGTAAGCCCTGTTATGCATATATTCTTACAGGTTTCAGGGCTCAGGTCTTTATGCACATAGTTCTGCTTGATAGAAATATGTCCAATTGTATTCTGCGTATAATTTTATGAAGGAAATATGTATACATATCGCAGTGCCTAATTGCAGAGCCTTGTTTAGTGGTTCATAACTTAATTTACTTTTTTCCGTGAGTACTTTTGCCATAGCTTTTCATAATTCCAGCATTTTCAATTTTTTATTTTTGTGTCCAGTCTCTCCTTTTTTTGGACACGACATATTTTTCAACTAACTCATATTGAATATTTATCTAAAAATTTTCGAAAAAGAGAACTATAAGAAAACTTTAAATGGTTTCTTTAGTTAGATAAAGATGAAGATTTGTACTTGACTTTATGTAAGAGCCAATCCATGCATTTTAATTTACATAGAATATGTTAGCAAGGCTATGGAGGGAAAAAATAGCCTCTTGCAATGGAATATTTTTTGTATTAATTGAGAAGAAATGAGTGTAGTCTCTTCACTCCCTTCACAAGTCTGGACTCCGGAAACTGTTTTGGACTTTCTACTGGTGTGGCGGAGAGCCAAAAGTATTTCAGCGTTTCTGCTTTTCTGATCTACCTTTCGACGGGTCTTTTTTGTTTCTCACTTAATCTACTACTTAAAACTATTGCTTACCTACTCCATCAGCCGCGGAAAAACTTTAAATAACATTGATTATAAGGCTCTTGATCGAAAGGTACATTATAAGGCATTGGATTGGAAGGTGCATAAGCAGGTTGTAAATCGGAATAGTTCGAGTTTTAAGTGTGCTCTATTTGTCTTATTATATTTTTAGACTCCAACCTCAGCTTCCGACCAGCAAAACTCCTTGACTGTGATAGTTCATTCAAAAACTTCAAATTGGTACTCCAGTTGGTGCAACCGTTGGCTTTCTTTGTTTGGGGTGAGTTTTGCCAGGTTTTTTGTTTGATATCTCTATCTTTTCCAAGAGTTGGGTTTTGAAAGTGCCACTTTTTAATGTCAGCATTCACCTCATGTTCCACTTCTTATGACTCTCTACCATTATATTGAGACAAATCTCTGCTAATAGATTTGGTTCACTTTTGAGCCCAGTTTTACTGAACTGCCAACTGACTGAAAAAAGCGTTTGCCAGAAGTCAGGAATTCAATGCTTCCGTTTGATAACTCTCGACCAACGTTTGCGTCCATTCACTCCAACGTTGAGAAGTTGGTCGTGAATTTCGGATGAGGTCGTCATCGCTGCTGACATGAAAACCAATTGTTGTAGGCACATCGCTGTCTAAATTTTTAGAGAATTTTTTAGTTTTCAAGAAATGCAACTAATTCTCTTCAAAATCCAATCTCAACAAATGCTCTCAAAAAGTAGGCTTTAATGGAGGAGCTAGCCTATCGCCTTTAAGAGGTCTACTTTTAATCAATCAAAATGTTCATGCAGATGATCCAATGGCCAGTAAATCATGATGAAACCTTTTCAATTTTCCCTTAAATTTGTCTTGTTTTTCATAATCTTAGAAAAAACGGTGTTTTTATCCTGCATTTTTAATATCGCTTCGTGTCGTAGTTTGGTTGACAAAACTCGCCTGGAGCCAAGTGAAAGTTTACATTCTTGCAAACCATTGGTTCTTTAAAAAACTTGAAATATACCAAAAATCAATGTTCATTTTTAGGTTTGGTTTTCAGTTATTGTGATAAACACCATATTAATTTATTTATTTGATTATCCTCATATTTTACCTGCTGAACTTTATTCACTTCATGCATTTTTGGAGAAAGATTTTCATTTTTCTTGTGGAATATCTTGTCTTAACAAAGTGCATTTTCAAACATGCTAACGCTATCAAGATGTGCATCAAAATTTTTAAGTTTCAAATTTCAAGAATCATATTGCTCATGAATGATTGCATAATATAATCTGTTATCATTTGAGGTATGTATGAACTGCATGAAATCATCATGAAAACTCCTCCGTAATGTGTTTCTCAAAAAAAGCAGTAAGTAAAAAAGAAGACAACTCATATGCATTAGCATCCCTCTTTGATGGTCACTCGGTCAGATCTGTTTTAATCTTTGTTTTCATGCATGGTTTTCAGGCACTATTGAAAATTTTCCTCATGTGCCTTGTAAACTGGAGCTTTGCAGTAATGAACTTGGCTGTTTGCATTGTGATATGGGCATACGTTGGGTTTGCAAACCCTGCTGTCAAGCCGGGTGTTGCCAATCAGTTCAATGTTCTGTGGTGGCTCCGCTGGACCTGCTTGAAACTCTTCAGGTAAGTTATTTCATATAATATTTTCTAATTCTTATGTATGTTTCTCAGAGAATATCAACAGCTGAAGTGCGAAACTACGTTTCCCCGTTTGGAACGTTGCAGACTTGCTGCCATACTTCATTTTTTATTTAGAAAACTTGTCTTCGTAATGTCTTGATTTTTGATGATTTTTCTTCTATGTTAGCAGAATTAGAATACATTTCAAGCTATAAAGTTGGTTTGCTTCTCTTTAAAAAAATCAAATACGCCGGAAATTTTGAATCACTGCCATGAAGGTACATGGTTTTGCACTTCGGCCATTGATAATTGTGTCGAATTCATACAAATTTTTCAAAAGTAGAAAACTCCTGCCCAAAAAGCATCGCCCAAAGATTGACTCCGTATGAAAATTGATAATAAAAATCAAAACAGTGTACTTGTTTGGGTATTGAAGCTCTCTCGAGCTCAATCATACTATTTTTAGGAGTACAAGCGTACCAAAAGCATTGAAATGAACGATGAACAGAGTTGATTTGTATAGTATACAATATCCTCAACTTCAAAACAGATATCACCTCTGTTCATCGTATATTTCAAAGCGTTTTGTTTGTAGTTTGATGGAACAGACGACATGTCCTTGCAGGTAGCTTCACCGTTCCAGAGACGTCCCTTACCATTTTGCATGACTGTGCGTCTTCCTCTATCAGACCTGACAGCCATCAGCGTATGGCATGGTGTGGGCACCTATTGCCTACAATGATGTAAAAATGCAAGCTGTTTTTGCTCCTATTTACTTAGTTTTGCGATTTATGACACTGCAGCATCTGCAGCATTTGCTGGAAGTATTTGCATACTTTTCAGCTCTAACAAAAAACTTAACATCATTTTTCAGGTGTTGAACGCCTTTCAGGTCAGATGGGATTCAGTCCGTAACCTTTAAATTTACCATGTTTGTTGGCTATTTAATCCTAAATTGCAAAAACAAACATTTCCTGTGGATAATCTGTATTGACTTTTTCATTTTGGAAGTTCAATTTTACAATTATTTTAGCTCTCCAAAAATGTTAAAAAAAAAAAAATTGTCATTTTAACAAACATTCAAGCGACAGTGTTGGAGGGAATAAAAGCATTTTTCCACCTACAGTAGGAATTATCTGTTTCATGTAGCCTCAGGTTTCATTAGTCGTTTGACTTTTTTCAATTTTTTTTCCAGCAATAAGGAAATGGACTATGAAGAAATTGTGGTCACTCCAAATCATCCAGATCTAGAACTATTTTCTGAACATTTGAATGAAGATAACGAGGACTTCGCACATCGTCAACGTTTCCATCAAACAGCAACTGTTATGCATGAAAATTTGCAGCCAAACTTCATCAGGTAAATCTATTGAATTTAAATCATCATTCCTAAATTATTGACCGAATATATGAAATTAAACACTAACTAGCCCCCAAAGTGTGGCCGGAAACTATGAAACGCATCTGTGATTTTTAACTTCTATCCTATCTAGACTATTGTCATGTGTAGCAATGCATTTTCAATTACCTAGGTTTTAAATGATCACTGCAGCTGTCCATTATTTTATCTATGAGTGTGTATAATATTTTTAAGAAGGTTTTAAGGAATGACAAATGCGATTTAGAATTATCAAGGGGTGTAGGGGTGAATTTTCTCAATCCTTTTCAAAAACTTGATTTTTATCTACATGAACGCTCAAATCTCCTCCTTTTCCTTGAGTTCTTCTCCAGTTGTTAATCAATAATTACTTAAGAGCCGGAATAACTTTTCTAAATACCTCTTTTCACCGTGTTTTCTTTTTTTTCTTATTTTACTGTCAAAAAAAAAAAATATATTTTTGGAGGCTCAATTCGTTGTCTTCAGACACTTTTCTCCTTTATCAGTTTACCTAGTATTCAGCTGTTTTGGCTCTGTACTACAATAAACTTTACACTGACTTGTACAATCCCTTAACCCTTTCCGGTCCGCAGCAGTTTTCCACGGCCGCGAGAAGCGAGGTTAAGGTAGCAGCGATGTTATCAACAAAGACAGTGGTTTCCAAAGGGTCCACCAGAGGCCGCCACTTGCTGGAGCAGTTGAATATACCCGACATCAGGCCTGCACAGAGGTTAAAACTTTAGGGCGACTATATCCGACATCGGACCTAAACGCGTTATTTTTCACGGCGAATATATCCGACATTGGACCGGAAAGGGTTAAAGGGAATAAATGTACCGAATTTTAAATGAATAAATTAACACGTGGGACTACAATTCTTTACGTTAAGTTTCAAATTCACCCTCTAAGATTTTTTCCTGAAGGGGGCACAACATTTTTACTAGAGTTTAATTTAAGAGTGCAGTCAATAAATAAAAGAATATTTGACCGTTTGTGGTATTTATTTTTCATTTTTTGAACTTATTTACCACTTCATGTTACGACCGGAACAAACAGTTGACCAAGGAAAGCATTGCTCCTCCTTCACCTTGAACAAAAAAATTCTAATAGAAATTTTGATCACCCCTCTTAGATCCAAAATTTCAAAATAATATTCTAATAAAGTTCATCAGCAAAAGATTTGAAAGGTTAATACTAATCATTTCACAACATAAGTAGAGGCGTTTGCTTGAAGAAGAAAAAAAAAAAAAAAAAAAAAAAAAAAAAAAAAAAAAAAAAAAAAAAAAAAAAATGAAATTCTTGACTTTAGCCTCTTGAAGACTCTTATTTGCTGTTTCTAATTAATTGTTGTAAAGCTTGTTAATAAACAGTGCTCTACATTTTCCAAATAATAATCCGGTTGTAAGTCCTTTTCAATGTGATGTGTATTAGCATTTTTAGGTTGAAAATATTACTGTAGAAATAGGTTGTAGAAAACTACTTCTAACAATGAAATGGCATGAAGCATCAGTAATTATTGATTTCCCAGTCATCCTGTAGTTGCAAGCGAGTTTTCGTTGCAAAAATATAGAAATTTTGTATCATATTATGTAGCATGTAAATCCTTTTTTGTGTTATTCAAATAGCACATGAGTAAACTTGATTTTAACGGATGGAGTGCCTCAGTATAATTTAATACATTCTGCTCCCATCTTTTATATCCTTCCATAATCATGAAACATCAAGTGGTCCATGTCACTCTAATATATTTTACAAATGTATTTAAATTTTATTTTACAATTGGTAACCTAACCAAAACTATCATTCAAACCTCAACTCATGTAACAAATGTTTTTTTAAAATCCGTTTATTTTTAAACTGAATTCTATTTTTTTTTAATTAGGTGCCTTTAAGACATTAAAAATAAAAATTACGGGATCTTGTGTGTCCCTTTCTAGTGTGCATAGTGCATCCAACCTGAATTGTGAAATTAGTGTCTATGTTACTGTAAACCAAATCAAATGATTGACTCTATTTTTTTTTCCATTTTTGTAAATTATAGATTTATTTATTAAATACATCGTCTTTTTTTCATTTTTTAATTTCAATAAATTGAATGCCAAAACGCTGCATTAATTGATCTCACGGATATTATCTGATGTACTGTAAGATTTCTTGTGAGTTATTGAATACCTACCCCATAAGAGTTCCTGTAGTGCAGGCAGGCCTCACTTGATACAGAATTTTCCAGACAGGAATGGTGCTTAGTAAGCGTGCCACTACAATGCATGATATAAATCTTAAATTCTATTTTTTTTACTCAAACTAGTTATGTTTCTTCTGAGCAATATTTTGTCATGTTGGCTAGCAGTTAAGGGGCCCCTTAAGTCCCTATCCTGATGTCAAGGTACACGTCATTGAGGATCTATTGGGCGGATCTTCAAAAATTTTTTTATTTGATTTCTTCAGACATTTTCTAGCTTTAGACGAGAAAATTTTTAAATATTCTGAAAAAAAAAAAGTTTTTGAAAATCCATCCATTTAATTAGATCCTAAGAAAGGTGTACCTTAACGTCAAAAAACATTTTCATAAGTAACACTTGTTTAAAGTTTGAACAAACAGAAGGATTGCATCACCTTGTTGCATAACATATTGCATAACTCATTCAATAATAATCAATTTTTTTTAAAAAAAAAAAAAAAAAAACCTCTGTCATGAATTACAGTTGAGGATATGTACAATTCGATTAGAAAAAAAATTGAAATTTTTTTTTTTTGAAGAAAAACAAAATGACGTATGACTCCTCGTCAGCCAGATCTTTAATTGCAGCGTACTCAGACCTTCCATTTTTTCTATTTCCAACATTGGCACTCAAGTTTGTATGTATTTTCATGGATTGCAATTTTCAGAAGTGCCTTTGACTTTTCTTGCGTTACTTTTGTTTTATTTTTTTAAATTGAACCATTATTATTTTTTTAAATTTAATTTAATTTTTCTATTCCTAGGCAAAATGAGTGAAGCAAACTAAAACGTGTCGAAATTATTTATTAAGTTTTCTATAATCTTGACAAATAAATGCGTTAAGTTTCGTCATTATTTTACAAAGAACTACAAGTCATTCAATGCCGTAAATTAGACAGTAACTAATATCTTATACAGTTACGTTTGTCTAACTTTTGCTGGTGAATTTTAAGAGCCTTAAGAAATTATCTATAACAAATTTACATACATATAGGGTAGGTCTGGCTCCTTAAATATTGGTCCGTGATAGTGGACATTAGGGACAAAGGAAAAGTAGGGATTTAGGAAATCATCCCTAAAAATTTATGAAAATTAGGAGAGGCGCTCTCTTTTTCAAAGATTTTTAAGCTGTTTTAGCATAACTTGCAAATATTCTTAAGTTTGCTGTTGGGCTTATTGCAACAGGCTCCTTCATCTGATTCCAAATTCTGAACCAGGCCAGACTAACCCTGCAAATTTATCTCAGGATATCCGAAGAAAGGAAGTTTTTGAAAATTGTAACAATTCTATAAAACAGAAGAGGAACAAAAATCAACAGACGCATTAAAAGCTGAGTTAGAATGGTTTGAAAAATATAGGTATCAACTTTTCAAATGTCTTTTTACAAAAGTCACTCAACCAAGTAATGAAAATCTGCAATCAAATTCCTCGAGCCTTGAACCCTTGAATGCATAGCCGGTTAATTCCCAAATTCTTGTCAAAAATTGAGGAAAATCTTGAGTTGAGAAGATACTTTCCTATGTAATCAAACAACAAATGAAATTCTTTTAAAAGTGCTAACACATAATAATTAATAAGGACAGTCAGTCTACAGGTACATTAGGCCCTCCAAAATGTTTACAGCTTTTTGTTGTTTGGACCAAGAAATTTTCAATCTTATTCTTTTTTGATACTTTGACGGAAGAAACATACTGATTCTTCTGCTGAAATGTAGTCATGTACCTTTTGTCACATTTCTCCCTATTAACGCCTGTATTATCTACTGTACTCATACAGTCCTCGTGCCTTTGGCACCAGTGACGCACGAAGCACTCGACTGCTGAATATAAATCAAACAATTTAGGTGCATCTTGTCAGAACTGTGTCTTGTAATGAACCTAGCAGGTACCTATTTCATTAGTGATTTAGATCATTTGCACCAAAACCTGCCTACTTCTTCTCTTCCAGCTGCTCAAATGTGGAAACCCACTCTGTTCTACTATACTGAAATTCAAACTGAAAAAATTAGTTCCCTCTTTATCTCTGATTTTGACTCTGCAAACCTCTGTTCTGGTTTAATTTTTTTTCAAATGAGAAGACTCATGACAGTATTCTTTGAAATTTTCTGTGAATTCCTTTCTAATCACTCAAAAATATTCACAGAAAATGTGAAAGAGATATTTTTGTTGGTTTTCTTCGACAAAAACAAAACATTCCTACTTGATAAAGGTAGGCATACATTTTTCGATTCAGGCATTGATAAATAATCAGTCACCCAATTTCCTAGTAGAACATCTTGCAGCAAATGTTCTCAGAGTATTCAATTTTCCGGTCTTATTCCCAAGTAGCACAGTGCAACGAAAATATTGGAATGATATTGCAATTAAATTTCAATAAAATTGTAATTTTTTACCATTAAATTGCAATATTTTTACATTATTTAGGTATGTAGTCGATTTATGCCGATTTTAAACAATCATAAAAATGAGCTCCAGTGTCTGAAAGATAGGCAATATGCAATGCAATGAAAAATTGCAACTTATTTCAATTTTATTGCAATAAGTCTCAATAAAGGAGGCCCCTTCAAACAGGAGCTAGGCAACACACACAACGCTTAATGGAATTGAGGCACTGGATGCGGAAAGGGCACTTCTCGGTTGCAGTGTTTCAGAGTCTCCTCAAATAGTTCACTCATTGTAAGGAAAGTGAATGCATCCATTTCACTAAAAATTTCACTGAATATTCCTTATGATTCTACAATTTTCTATGGAAAGAATTCTGGCAAAAGCACACATTAAATTCTTTTCCAAGGGATTAATCAGCAACAGAGATTCTGAAACACTGCAATCGCGAAGTGCCCTTTTCGCACCCAGTGCCTCAATGGACCACTAGACAAGGTACGAATTTCAGCATTCTGATACATGTTTCTTCGCCAAAATTTCTCGTAAAACACGATGCGCACAACGAAAATTACCGAAATCAACTCCTTCCGAAAATATTCAATGATTCTTGGTGCGTGAATTGAAACCACCCGCTCGTGAAAACTCAATGCTCTACGTGATTCACATCGCGCGCTGAACGTTATCATGAACGTCTCAGCGATATAAAAATCTGGCAACCTCAATCTTGACGCTTTGGCTCAGCTATAGCAAATCACCTTTAGTTTGAAAAACACATGCTGGGAAATGAACATTGCTCGATTGAGAAGCTTGCTGAAACCGTTGTAGTGCGCGATTTGACTCACGTAGAGCTTTGAGTTTCTTGTGAGCGCGCAGTTCAAATTCCCCGCAACGTTAGTATCTTCGTTAGGAGGGTTTCAATAGTTTTCGTTGCGCGAATCGTGTTCTGCGTGAAATTTTGGTTAAGGAACATGTATTAGAATTCTTAACTTCGCACCTTGTCTAGTGGTCCATTGCAATACTTTTACAATGTAATGACTACTTATCGCCATCCGTGCTACTTGGGGTACCGTTCCCTCTTTCTTACAGGCTACTCGAGGATGAGTGGAGGGAAAGGGGGCGGGCGAGGGGGAAACTATAAGCTGGTCGGAGGCACATTCATTCGGACGCAATTTTTGGCGGGGGCTTGAGCGGAGTCCTCCCTGACCTCGCTGGCGATGACGGTGGCGTTGGAGCGGGAGGCGGAGGCGGAGGTGATGGCCGTGCCGGAGGTGGAGCACTCGGTCTTGCTCACGATGAGGCAGGTCTGGTCGTTCCTGTCGCCGCCTCCGGAGTGGGCTCCGCCGCCTCCGTGCCCGCGCGTCCGGAGCCGCTCGCTCCCGCGGTGCTTCCGCGGGAACACGCTGTTCTCCATGTGGAGGGTGGCGTTGACCTCCGTGCCGGTGGCGCAGGTGCAGGCCTTGAGGAAGGACTTCTTGAAGTTATCGCTAAGGAAGGCGTAGAGGATGGGGTTCATGGCCGAGTTGGAGTATCCGAGGCACCCGGTCACCAGGAACATGGTGATCCCCAGGTTGTTCTGGCAGTGGTTCGGGTCCGTGAAGATCAGCGCCAGCTGGGACATCCAGTAGGGCAGCCAGCATAGGACGTAGACCGTGATCACGGTGAGGACGAGTTTCGTCACCTGGACACACAGATAGAGGGGGAAAAATAATTAATAAAACTCCAAAATGTCTTTTATAATTTACACGGAGAAAAAAACTTCGTGCGTGGGACCCGAAGTTGAGGTCATATGGATCTCTGAAGTCTACGGATCACGTATCTAAAAACTTAGGGTCCAGCTGCCGAAGTTCGTGTCAGACATCTGAAGTACTTCTGTATTCACCGAAGGGTTCGGGTCACACATCTAAAGTACTCTGGTGCAAACCGAAGTGCCTCGATGTCTGACCCGAACTTCGGCAGCTCGACCGCAAGTTTTCGGATGCGTGATCAGAAAACTTCAGAGATCCATATGGCCTTAACTTCGGGTCCCCGGTCCCACGCACGAAGTTTTTTTCGCCGTGTATTAAAGATTTGTCAAAGCTGTGAGCGTTTGGGCGTATTTAAATAAAAATTGACTTTATCCATTGTGATATGAGCCGTGAGATCCATAAAAATGCATGCACGATAGGGCTTAAGTCTTGAAGGATATAGTTCCTTTTGATCTAAATTCGTCTCTTTAATAATACAGGGTGGGTCAGAAGTTCCAGGATGGTCGGCTAACTTTTGAACGGTTCGAGATAGAAAAATGAAACTTTGGGAATGTTCCTATCTCAAAGGAGATCATCTTTTTTTTTTTAGGGGGGGGGGTCAAAATTTTGGTCCCCCTAAGGGAAGGGGCAGGGGCCCCCCAACTTTTTTTTTTCAAATGACAACCCCTATCTTGCAATACCTCATTCAAAAGAGCATAAAAAACTAAGAATTTTAGCGCAAACTGCAGATCAATATCTTAATTTTTGACCAAGTTATGATAGGGTCAAAGGTCAATACCGAAAAAAAACCACGGTCCCTGATTCTAAATCGTAGCTATTAGGATAGTTACTTTTGTTCTTTAGGCTGAAAATTAGAAGGGAGTCATAAATAATGACGCGTTGTCTGAGTGTCGCAGCGATTTTAGCGTTCGTCCCGCCCGCGAGGGTCGGCAGGGCGGTGAAGAGTCAAGACATCTTCGCAGTTTGAAACGCCTTCAATCTGGCGGAGCTGCAACATGCGTACACCCGTGGTCAAATAGTTGTATGTTACGCCTGCCGTAAACGAACTCATATATCGATGGTTCATTCCACGCGAAATGGAGCGTATTTACCTCGATTGCAACGTTGCAAACCACATTTAATGCTTCAATTTTGATCAATATTTTTAAAAGATACGCACAGATTCTCTGAAAAATTAACAATAATTTTACGAACGATTATAATTAAAATCACGGGAATTTTCGTCGCGACATTTTATTTAGTCCTATTTTCCTTGTTTTCTAAAATACCTTTTTTCAAAAAATCACAACTCCGGTTCAAATTATCGTATAAGGAAAAAAATAAAACGGGAAAATGTACCAAATTGTGTTCGCTTTTTTGTAAAAATTGCAGAAATCACTTCGAATTAATTTTAAGGGGGGGGGGGGGGCTTCGGACCCCTAAATACGTCAATTCAAATGCCATTCAATTTTCCCGCGAAATAAGCCAATTTCCCCTAGATTTGTCTCCACATTATTTCAGTAAGGTCAAAATCAGTTTTATTACGTTGGTAAGTCCCCAAATTTTAGGAAAAGTTAAAAAAAAAACCAATTTAAGGTGATTAAATTTGACCGTTCGATTCGAGTGTTTACGATTTCATCAGGAGTAACGCTCTGAACTATTTGACTTTCTCGTAATTTAGACTGTTCGTGTGATGTCCACGATGTAAACATATATTGTTAAGCTTTGTGACAACTAGTGTAAAGTAACTGTGATTTATTTATGTTCCGAAGAATATGTACTTACTCCGAAGATGGCGTAAGCCGAAAGGTACCTCAATAAATAATAAATATTAAATACAACACCTTGGTTCTCATTCAAATTTCAAATAGAATGTCAGCTCGGAGGTCCGGGCACAAAAGTAGTACCGAACCTCTGAATAAGATTCGCTTAAAATGTCTTTAAAGGGATACTAAAGAGAGTGGAACCTTGCGGTGGGACTTCTTCTTCTCCTTGGACTTGTTCTTGGGGCCGACGGTCTGGAGCTTGCGGATGACGAGGAAGTAAAAGACGAAGATGAGGAGCATGGGGATGAAGAAGCCGAGGATGAAGGAGTAGAGCGTGAAGATGGTCTCGCCGCTGAGCCGGCCGGTGGAGGGCCAGACGATGTTGCACGTCCGTCGCCCTTCGCTGTCGTCCGTCAGGCTCGAGTGCATTATGATCGGCGTCATGAGCAGCGCCGATGAGCTCCACGCCGATACCGATACCACCTTAATAACAAACAAACAAACAAACAAACAAACAATGTGTTAGTCACTTATGGTGATTCGATGGACGACATATTTTGTGTCAGAACGGCATGCGATGTATCGCATCCATCGGTTCCATTTTTTCAACTACTTGTCATTTTTCTCCAATTTTGAGATCGCAATTCTGTTGCCAGGAGACTAAAGCACTCACGTACCAATTTTAACAAAGAAACTCAACGTAATAAAGGCGTGGTCTTTTTAGAGAGGAAATATCGCATTTGAGTGCAGTTTCGATATCAGTATCGAATGCGATGTTTTCTCTCTAAAAAAACCACGCCTTTAGTACGTTGAATTTCTTTCTTAAAATTGGTAAGTGAGTGCTTTAGTCTCCTGACAACAGAATTGCGATCTCAAAATTGGAGAAAAGTGACGAATAGCTGAAAAAATGGAACCAATTGATGCGATATATCGCATGCCGTTCTGACACAAAATATGGCGTCCATCGAATCACCTTAAGCCCCTTCCCGAAGTAGCAGTGATCGCGATAGATAGCGATTCCATCGGTCGATTATCGCGATTATATCGGTGGCAATATATCGAGATATTATCGCATTAAAAATTACGGCATATGGCGATTAAATTGCACGGAAAAAAATTCCCAGATTCCCTCAGAACAATTTTGCTACGAGCAAAATGATATGATGGTTAGAAGCCTCAAACCGCGATCAGGTAGGCGTAGACAACGAAGATGGTAATTCGCACCAACACTGCTGGGCGGGCGCGCCGTCCTCCAGTGTATCAATCATGAAAGCAAGGAGAACCTAATATTTTGTGTTTTTAGCCATAAAGAGGAGTATTTTCTTGTGAAACGTGCAGCTAAAAAAATTGAATACAAAGGTGTGCAATGTTGGGGTTTGCAGCTAGGGATGGTGGAAAAGGGTTAATCGCGTAGATACATTTCGAAATTGAGTAAAATGAGACTACAGTACTTATTGTGAGGTGCTGCAGTCGTATCCGACGTATCGAACTTTTTTGCTGGGACCTATCTAACCCTAGCCGAAGACCCTAACGATTGAGCTATACAGTATGATGAGAATCTTGACCGAAAAACCTGTACATAGCTTCGATTTGAACGGAAAATCAGGATATTCAATCTACATACTTAGATTGGTTCATTCATTTTTCTAATTTTCGTATTTCATTTTATTTTTTAACGTAACATGTAGGTAACTCAACAGTTAATTGTTGAAGTCCCGAAAGTAAAAAGTTCCACAATAGCCGAGATGCGAGTGGTGGGTCTCTTGTATATGACTATGCTACGCGCTCACAAGTGTTGGGGATTTTTTCAAAATAATCGATTAATCGAATCGATTCAATTCGATTTTTTAAAGAATCGATAAATTCGATTGAAATCAACTAAGAAAAATCGATTTTTCATCGATTTTTTAAAAGAACGATTAAAAATCGGAAAAAAATAAGCGCGCCGAGAGAAATTTCTTTGTGGAAACTCGGTTTACATCGGTCTTTTCTCGTTCAAATCGATTTTGCTAATAAAAATCAATTTACACGATTATTCGACTCAGAAAAATCGATTCGATTTTTGCGATTATTTTATTGAAAAAATCCCCAACACTAGCTCACACGCGGATGGCTCACCTTGGAAATGAAGGGGGTTCGGAGCTTGGGGGCGGAGATGGGGTGGCAAACAGCGATATATCGGTCGGCCGACATGACGGTGAGGAAGATGCTACTCGTGATCTGGTTGATGCTCGTCGTCGTCATGTAGATCTTGCACATGAGGGCCCCGAACGGCCAGTACTGGAGGCTCATCGTCACGATGAGGAAGGGGATCCCGATGAGGAAGCACTCGTCGGCGATGGCCAGGTTCACGATGTACATGTTGGTCACCGTCTGCATCTTGGAGAAGCGGAGCACCACGTAGATGACGAGCGTGTTACCGAGGAGACCCAGCGTGAAGACGATGGCGTAGAGGAGCTGCAGAGGGATCCGGCTCGGGGGCATGACCCCGCCCTGCTCCAGCTTGCACGCCGAGTGGTTCAGGAACGTGTCGTTGTCCAGGCTCAGGTTCCCGCTGAGGGCCAGGGCCCCCCACTCGAGGCCCGATGACGTCATCCTGCCCGGGCCCCGCTACGCCCCCGCCCTGGACCCGGCCGTCAGTGACATCTCGGCTGAGGCCGCACCCGCGCTCTCTCGCGCATTAGTTCCACATCTGGAAAAGAAACCAATAAGTTGGAATCCGAACATTGCAGAATCTTAAAAACGGCTAGTCTGAGGAAAGAAATTGTTTTCACTAAAATGGAAGAGCGCATATGAGCGCCTACAAGACTGCAGGAATACTTCACGCATTGCGCCAAACTCAATGCAGTCACTGGTCGGCGTGATGTGCATATGGGCAATGGAGATGTTGCATGTGTGAGGAATTTGCGATTTGACTACCAATTGTTATGTAAAAGCTTGCGAGAAATACGATGGTGCTACTGGTTTTCTCTGAATTCGACTTCCAAGCTCAAAAGAAGCTCTCAAGTTGAGGCCAAAATGGAGGGGATATCCCACGCTATCCTGAGAGTCTACCTCTGCATAAAGGCAAACTCTCCATGCGAAGATAGGGAGCAAATACATGAGCACTGAGCAGGGTTGCCGTGTTTTCAGTTTTAGAGTCCCCAAATTAAGTGGCAGCCCTGTCAATGTATTTTCTCCCTATCTTTGCATGGAGAGTTTGTCTTGATGTAGAGGTGGACTCTCAGGGTAGCGTGGGATATCCCCCCCCCCTTTTTGGTCTCAACTTGAGAGCTTTTCTTGAGCTTGGGAGTTAATTTCAGAGAAAACCAGTGGCACCATCGTGTTTCTCGCAAACTTTTACATAAGAATAAATATTCAAATTGCAAATTCCTCACACATGCAACATCTCCATTCTGGACAGTGTTGTTCCTTTTCAAGTTCACTACCCTGGTAAAAATTGGCGATAGGAGCTGCGTTTCAAAATACCATAGGAGTTCTTATAGCCGACTAAAGATGGCTATTGAAAATCATATAGCTGGCTGTAGAAAGCGGAGCAAATCATATAGCTGGGCTATACGAAGCTATAAAAAAGTATACAGTCGGGCTATAGTTTCTATCGCCGGGCTTTACACTTTAGCGCCATTGGCTATAAAATGCTATAAAAAATTGTGTAGGAATTCGTGTGTTTTGGAAATCATTAAGTTTTTTACGGAACTACCTTAATGTCTACAAAACACACATTTTATTTTCCTTCAAAATACATTTTTTCTTTCATCAATTAAAATGAAAATAATCCATAGAGAGTGTGCAAACATTTCAGAATCATGAGTTGAAAAACGCCGACTCCGCGAGATTAAATATTAGAGCCTAACACAAAGCGAAGCGGCGACGCACTGGCACCTACAAACCTAACAGGGATACTTCACGCATTGCGCAATGCGTGAAGTATCCCTGTTAGGTTTGTAGGCGCCAATGCGCTTTTCGCGCTGGCTGCCCGCCCGCCGCGCTGCAGCGAACCACGGAGCTTGAAGCAACTATTTCGCACCAGAGGTATTGCACAGTATCATACGAAATTGAAGGCGCTCCAACATATTAGGAATGGCAGGCATCCTTCAAAAGTACGGATGCTCTCCGCGCAAAATAAATCAAGATACTGCGGCCCAAAAAGAGAGCGGTAGTCCAAAAACTCACTAAGTCCTAGTATCCGTATTTAGTAACGTTTAGTATACACTTTATCGCCAGGCTGTTGCTTAATCGCCATCGACTATAAAAGGCTATAAGAAATTGTACAGCCGGCTACAGAAGCTATTGGACATCTTACAGCCGGCTTTAAGTCTATGGTATTTTGGAACACAGATTCTACTGCCAATTTTTACTAGGTAACTAGGTCCGCCCGTTCCTACAATATTTAGTAAATCAATTTTCTAGGAGAGATGTATCTTAGCGAGACGGTCTCTACACCATTTTTTTATGGTATTCTTTGCGTTCACGTGACTTGAAATACCATACAATTTTCAATGACGAACCATTGAAAATAGACATGAAAATTAGTTATAAAACAAAAGAATGATGAAATTAAATACCTGCATATTTGATTTAAAATTGATCTCCTTTCTCAGTCTTATGTTCTTTAGGACTAGTGAAGATCCTTAAGTTCGTTCATTCCTCAAGTTTTACAAGCGGAGCATTTAAATGTCTGGTAAGTGATGTGACAATAACAGAAGTATCGGTCGATCGAGTGGTTTGGACTAAGAGCAGCTATTAGATTCGTATACCATCAATGTTCCAAATTTTGGTGCTCCTGGAATCGCACTGAGTTTTTTCGGCATGATCACACGTGTAAAAAAAGTCTTCCCATGTGTTTATTGACACCTGAAACCAAACAAAAAGTAACGGAAAATCGGTCAGAATGAGGTAGTTATTCCTATATAAATTGGTGTTGCTGGTATCACCCTCGCAAAATGGATCCAGGCAATTAAAGAGGTCGGACATGAAATTTTTGACTAAAACTGCAAATTTTGATGTTTATTTCGTCATATTTTAAATTTTAAGGGGTGTATCATTTAGAAAATTTCACGAGGAAACCAATGGAGCCACTTTTGGAATCTGAAAGTTTTGTATATACGAAATTATTAGCGTTTAAAGTTTCCAAATTTTGTCCGACCTCTCCTATTGACTCGATCCACTGTGCCTCACGAGTAATTAAAACGACGCGTCAAATACGCACGGCAGGATTGTTATGTTTGTAATATTCGACAAATTGTGATCGTTTCCTGGAAATGAAAATAAAGAAATGAAGGTGATGTAATAACTAAAGCTCGGTTCAAAGCACGCATGGCGATCATTTTCCGAATGATTCAATCCTTCCACCATTGAATTTAACTGAGAAACGGAGGTAATTTCGACGCGCGACGCTGGTAGTTTCTCACAGAGCTTCCTCTTGGAAATTCGCAGTAACATTTATAGAAACGACCTCTCCCGGCTTCCGAGGAAACGACCAAGAGCTGAGGTTCCCATGCAAGAAAACACTACTCCGCGCCTTCCATTCCCACCACTGCCTCCAGTCATATGCCACTAAAATATTTTCCAAGACTCGAGTGCCGGCGAAAATAGTGCAATTGGATTCTATTTCCATTCGCACAACGACCGAATGTCTTTCCTCGTCGCACAGACGAAATGAGAACCTCACGCGTAGTGCAGTGTGTGGTTCTTAAAGTCTTAGGCACCCACTTCCTTTGCGGGTGTATCGAGAAAAGAAAATATAGACAAAGGGTTGAACACCCTATTTCATCTTCTGCCGACTGCAAATAGTAGCTACCATTTCTTGACTCTTGTTCGTGAACAGCTTTATTGAATTTCCTATATTGAGTCTTTGAGCACCCATCTCCTCAATCCGCGCGTTCAATTTAAGTTCTTTTGTCTTGAAGCAATTTTCTTTTATTTACTCACCATAAATTATATATTTTTAGACTAATGGAAGGAATGAAATAGAACTAATGACCTCTATTCAATTTTGAAAAAGTAATGGATTTTTCGGAGGTTGCACGTGATTCGTCTTCTTGTCCCTTCAAAAATAAACAATGTTTCAAAGACGAGTATTAAACACAAACAAAATTAAAATAGCGTAAAAAGAAGGGGGGAGAAATTGCTTAGTAATAAAAGGTACCCGCATTAAAGTTTTAAGCCTGATACTACTCTTGACTAGGAAAACAAACCCTCGATCTAGAATAATCAAGTTGAATTTGTAGTCTTTTGGAGGTCGTAGAATTGGCCATATGCACATCACGCCGACCAGCGACTGCATTGAGTTTGGCGCAATGCGTGAAGTATTCATGCAGTCTTGTAGGCGCTTATATGTGCTCTTCCATTTTAGTGAAAACAATTTCTTTCCTCCGACTAGCCATTTTTAAGATACTTGCAGATTCAGTGGGAAAAGCGCGATTACAAGCAAAATTCGACCTTCCTAGCTGCAGAGAACTACCGCGATATATCATAAAGCGGAAGTTGTGAATTAATAAATATTTCCTATGGGAAATTTCTTGTTCTTTAGACAATATCCAATCACATTTTTCCGTAGGATTGATTGTTTTTGAGACCTAAGCAAAAAACCGGTCGCCTGTGGCGTATTTTGACTTCTCAGCCTATCTTTTTTCAAGATGGTGGCCTTAGCGTACAGCCGATTCCGGTAAAATTTTGTTATATTGTTCTGGTGGCCTATTGCAACATGTTTCCGCAAAGGAACCTACTATACATTGATTTTCTCGGAAAGAAGGAGAGATGCGAGATTGACTGGACCATGACCTCAGCATTGTTTTTGCGTCGAAAAGTTTGTAAAATCAATTTTTCACACAGCGGTATGAAAGCCTGGATTTTGCTGTTGAGGCTTTAAGATCTCTTTCGTGTGGACATCATACACAGCTTGTAACTTGGATTTTTGTTAACTTGGAAAAGAACCAAGCCACATCAACTTTTGCCAAATTAGATTCGAAGATTTAATTTTTTAACTGAGATGATCAGTTTATATTTGCAAAGTAATAAAAGTTGCACAATCTCATCGACATTAGAATGCTCAGGGTTTGTTTTTGCAGAATACAATCCAGTTTATCCTCCCTGTCTAGATGGTGAGCTTCTAGGCTTTCTCCTGCCTTTCCCCGTGTAATTTCATTACAATTTTGGTACCTACACTTTTCTACAGAAATATTTATCCTAGAATGTTGAAACTTTGTATGCATAAGTAGATATGTGTCATAAAAAGAAGATTTGAAGTGACCAACTTTTTTTTTTGAATTTTTGACATTTTGGTATTATTTTCGTTTTTGTAAAAACATGCAAAATTTAGCTATTTTTGTAACCCCCATAAGCTCAAAGTAAATGCCTAGGCAATTGATACCAAGGGATCCGAGTTTCATAGTCTCAGAGGTTCCCTGACCTCCCTCACCGCAGTATGCGCTTATATGTCTTTTTTTTTTCAAGAGCCCGCGCCGTACACACTGTGCAACGTGCTACCAGCTAGACATGCGCGCTGGCGCCTTCAAACCTAACGGGGATACTCCACGCATTGCGCAATGCGTGAAGTATCCCTGTTAGGTTTGTAGGCGCCAATGCGCGTGTCGCGTTGGTCGCGTAGATGCGCTTCTTTCGTTTCGTTTCGTCTAAATAGAGAAACTAACTGTACCTCTTGCCATTTTCGGTTTTCCCCAAACTGAAACTTGCACAGGATCAATGTCCTGATATTCCCAGTTACAAATACTTCTGAATATTCTCCGAATCCCCAAATCGCGATGCATTTCCACAGGTTTAAATAAGGAAAAAACAATGTTACCAATCTGTCGCGGACCCCCTAATGCTTGGTTTCTTTCTGCTAAATGAGACCCCTAAGAATCGATGCATTTCCATAGGTTTAAATAAGAAAAGAACAATGTTGCCGATATACTGTGGACCCGCTAATGCTTGGTTCCTTACTGCTAAACGAGGCCCCTACAAGAATCGATTCATTTCCGTAGGTTTAAATAAGGAAAAAACAATGTTACCGATTTGCTTCGGACCCGCTGATGCTTAGTTCCTTTCAGCTAAACGAGGCCTCCAGGAATCGATTTATTTCCATAGATTTAAAGGAGGAAAAAACAGTGTTGCAATTTGCCGGACCCGCTAATGCTTGGTCCCTTTCAGCTAAACGCGGTTCATTTGTAACCTTATATTCAGCGATTCGGTTTCACTGAAAGTTAAGAAACGAAAATAAGCGAAACGTGGCAAGAGGGAGCGGGCATCGTCCCTCGGCCGAATCCGCCGAGCGTAAAAATCTTCACCTGAGGAGGTGACGGTGGTCGGACCACCCCGGACGCCGGGAGAATTTCAATTACGACGAGTGATAAGTAAAATATTCTGAATGTTGAGTAGCGTCCGCGTCATTTTTGTTGATTCTCGCGTGGATCCGGGTCTCGTTATCCTTCGGGAGAAGTCGCCGACCGGGTCCGAGGCCGGGGCGACCTTTGCAGACGCGAATCATTATTTTTATCAGTTTTCGTTGCGCCCCCCCCCCCGCCTCCTTATCCGCGATGGAAATCCGAGTGCGGGACAATCGGTGTGGAAATTAAACGAAAATAGACGCGTCGCAGAGGAGGAAAATCCATTCGCTCACCGCGAGCCCCTATCATCGTGTACACTTTTCAACTTTATCGGAAGGCCTTGTCTCCACGAGACGTTTCATGGGATTTATTCCCGGGAAATCATAGAGAAAAAAAGGAGGTGTTTGCATCTTGAGGTTTGTTTACCCTGTGACGTAGGTCGTCACAACCTGGCCAGCGAAATGCAGAATTCGAAATATGAATAACGGACCATAATGTCCGATTATTTTATTTAAATCAACTCATTATATAATTTCAAGCACTATTTATAGAATGACTTTTTTCCTTAAATTACACCATTTCCAAGAAAATCGACAGGATAAACGTCGCTGTACCGACCTACGTCATCAAATTATCAAAAAAATTCCAAGATGCCCGAAATGCAAACACCTCCTTTTTTTCTCTATGCAGGGAAATATCTCACTTGCAAAGTTGGGAAAAATATTATGAATTAGTCGATGGAGGGCCTCGGAGGACAAGGCGCATAAGTGCAGTTTTTGAAAAAAAAATTGAGATATTCAAGTAAAACTGGACTGCATTTTGCAAAAAGGAACCAAGAGCATTGCAATGTTGCTATAAGATGGTGCAACTTCTCTTGTCCTGGAAGAAAAACCTGGTCATTTATAAATATTTTCTATTTCACACACTAAACACTGTAAATTTAAGACCAAAATTACCATGTAAATTTCATATTTTTGCATGATTACAGTAATTTTATTTCAAAGGGTGAAGTCGCACTATATTAGCGACACGGCAATGCTTCTGGTTCCTTTTTGCAAAATGCAATCCAACTAGTCTTCATGCGTAGGCATACTGTGAAAATTCGTTCCCAAATTCCAATTTTTAAGCATCAAAATGTTAGTTTGGACTTTCCTTCCACCATTAGGATCCATTCGATTCCGAAACTTCAACCACGTATTTCTCGAAATAGCAAAAACTGCACCTATGCGCCTTGTCCTTTAAGCCCCTAAATACTAATCACAGCTAAAAGTAGAGTCCCTCTAGAGCCCTGACAAAAACTAGAGCCCTAGCAACTCAGAGAAAAGAAGAATGGAATTTGTTGTTTTATTTACTCAACGGAGAAATATGACAGAAGTTTCATTCCTGCTATTCAAACTTAGGACGCATCTCATGAAACGTCTCGTGGAAACAGGGCGAGGGTGGAAGAAATTTAGTTGTGTCTTAGAGAATGGGAAAGATAGGATAAATGACATGTACATGGTCGATTTTTAAACTGACCGTTTCCCT